GCTTCTTGCTGTCTGCTGACATTCAAATAATGGAGGTCTGTGGCGCCAGAGGCAGAAAGGTCCATAAAAGTCCACAAAAAACGTGTCAATATTCCTCCATACTGCTCGTCCAATGTATTCCAAGTGTCCTGAGTGGGTAGCGTCCATAATTTACTCGAAACGAAGTCATTTAGAATGTTTTTAGAGCATAAACAGTAGCGTATAGGATTTCCTAAAAGCGCGTTCACGAGTCTACGGAAACCGCGGCAGACCAAACCAGACGAAAGTGCGCATTCAGCTCGGCAAAGAACTCATGCTCTTGCTCAACACTGAAGTCCTCAGACATTTTTCTTTCGTTGTTTCTTTCTTTGCACAGGTAAACAGCATATTTCTTCTTCTACGCTTGCATTATTGGCAGAGCAGACGCTGAATGTGCACTTTCGTCTGGTTTGGTCTGCCACGGTTTCCGTAGACTCGTGAACGCGCTTTTAGGAACTCCTATACACTACTGTTTATGCTCTAAAAACATTCTAAATGACTTCGTTTCGAGTAAATTATGGACGCTACCCACTCAGGACACTTGGAATACATTGGACGAGCAGTATGGAGGAATATTGACACGTTTTTTGTGGACTTTTATGGACCTTTCTGCCTCAGGCGCCACAGACCTCCATTATTTGAATGTCAGCAGACAGCAAGAAGCCTCCCAGATCTCCAGATGCATTTGAGATATCAAAAAAGTACTCCAGAGTGTTGTTCAGCATGGAGGTGAGTAGAAAATGAAGGCTAATCATGTTTTGGGTGTACTATTCCTTTAAAACTTGTAGCTTTCAGATTAGCTTAAGACGGATAGAGAGCTAAAGCACGCTTCAACAGGAGCAGTGAAGGTAGGTGCTCTGGAGAGACTAATCGTTATTCTTAATCTTGGAAACTGATGGACAAGTTTGTGTTTGGTGGTAACCAGGACAACCATCCATGTTTGACTGTAAAGGGTTGGTAAAATAAAAAAAAAACACACAATATTAAAAAAGCAAGGTCCATACAAAATGGCAGAAAAATGGATAAAGACCTCGGGGTTTAGTGTGAATAGGTGGACTCCACTGTCCTGACCTCTATCTGTAAGAATAACTTTGGGATAAATTAAACCGAACACTGAAAGCCAGGCCTTGTCCTCCAACAAATCACTTCAGAAACATGGTTCTGGGGGAAAAAATACTCATAAACATGCTCTTAAACCTTTGCGGAGCGCCTTTAAACAGCCTTGGACAGAGCTGAAACCCTTATGGCTGCAAAATATGCCACAGTGAACTCCACAGATTAACAATGGGATGCCATTTAAATTCCTAAACGTGTCAAAACAGGTGAGAGAACACTTTCAGTATTATTATTATTGTTTCAAATGTTTTACAATATGACCTTTTTCATATCATTTACATAAATTTGTGGATATATTGTGTAATGGTGAAGAAAAACAAGTTATAAACAACATAGTTAACTATATTTAATATCTGAAAGGTCCTTTTAGAGAGAGCATCGCAAATGAGTTTTTTCATTGCTCATAAGGCCATTGTAGATGGCATAAATAAACGGAGGAACCTTTCAACCAGCTGGCCGGCAGTGTGCAGCATCTCGTTCTACCAGTCTATTATACCTCGATATCTATGCTGTATTTAATCAAATTGTGTATAAACTCATACACTATTTTACCTTGCATCTCCTAGGATGTATCATGTTGGGGATTGACGATATAAATTAGTTTTTAATGCATCTAAATTTAGGTTTTGATTTGTCCTTTTGTGTAAAACTTATATAGGCAATGTTTGAGAAAAAGCAATAATAAAATAAATAATACCAACCGTTAGATGTATTCTTTTAACTTTAAGTGATATTGTATCCACTGTTCAAAACTCGAAACGTTACGTCTTTGCATTTAATATAAATAACTCAGATATATCTATTTTATATTGCTGTTGTGATTTCTATCACCTGGTAGCCATATATACCTTTGCTAATGTTGAAAAAGAATGGTTTTAATAGGCTAAACTACATGTTTCTATCACCAAAAAGCTTTAAAATTAAATAAATGTTGACTTTAGTTGCAGTATGTGTTACAGACACCTGTTTTGCACCTTCACTCGATTCAGCTTATCTTTTCATGCTTTATACGCTGCTACGCTAAAAGCTAACCCAAGTTTTGCCACCTACGACCATCAAATTTGCAAATACGACATTACTTAGCACGACTGTTAATGAACACGGCTCTGTTTCGCAGTTCTTGCATAATGTTCATTGAGAAGGCTAATGACTGACCTGTGGAAACACCCTGATTCTCAGCTGCTCATGATCCTGCGCTGGCTAGCCTGCTAGCCACTTCCTGGTTGATGGCTGGCTTCCTGTGACGCGTACTAGTGAAGGGTGACGTGTACTAGCGAAGCGTTGCAGCGATTCACCCACACCTTCCAGAAATCATCAACTACAACAAAAGGGGGCTGTTGTAAAATGTTCAACATGATGGGTCCCACTGGTTTTGCTGTCTAGGGTTTTATAAAATCAAACACAGGAAAATGACAACAGGAATCGGTTCAAAGTAAGAGTCAATCAAGACGGAGGTCTTCAACAGGGGGTTCCGCGACCCCTAGGGGGTCCCTGGAGGTACTGCATGGGGGTCGCGAAAGTTTTGGTTGATTAGACTTTTTAATATATTCCCCCCTGCAACTTTTTTCATTAATTGAAATGTCTTTAAATACACATTAACATGAATTAACACACAGATAAATGGAGGCAGAAGATGTCCTTCAGTCAACAATGCACACATTCAGGGACACAGCTCTTTCAAGCTGGACACCATTTCATTCACAACACCTGTCCCATCAAGCAGGAATCAGAATCAGAAATACTTTAATAATCCCAGGGAGTAATTATTTTGTTAAATCACTCCATCTGTAATAGAGTGACCATAGGAGCAGTTTGATATAACACAATTTCATACACTATATATAATTAGGGGGTCCCCGCTCCATCTCGCCATCAGTTTGGGGGTCCTTGGCCAGGAAAATGTTGAAGACCCCTTTGGAGTGCAGTGGGCTGCTCCCCAAAGGGAGGTTGGATCTTGACCTTAACTGCAGGTCAAGATCCAACCAATGGTTTCTTTAGCTGTTTTGAAACCTTTATATTCATATTTTGTAAGCCACAACTCTGAAGGTGTTTCAATTGAATTTGCTTTCATAGACTATCCATCCATCTTCTTCCACTTATCCGGGGTCATGCCACGGGGGGTAGCAGCTTCAGTAGGGAGGCCCAGACGTCCCTCTCCCCAGCCACTTGAGCCAGCTCCTCTGGAGGAATCCAAAGGTGCTCCCAGGCAAGCTGAGAAACATAGTCCCTTCAGCGTGTCCTGGGTCTCCCCCTGGGCCTCCTCCCAGTCGGACGTGTGTGGAATACCTCACCAGGGAGACGTCCAGGAGGCATCCTAATTAGATGCCCGAGCCACCTCAGCTGGCTCCTCTCGATGTGGAGGAGCAGCAGCTCTACTCTGAGTCCTCCCGGATGACTGAGCTCCTCCCCTTTCTCTAAGGGAGATCCCAGACACACTACAAAGAAAACTCATTTCAGCCGCTTATATCTGCAATCTCGTTCTTTCGGTCATGACCATAGATGAGGGTAAGAACGTAGATCAAGCAGTAAATCGAGAGCTTTGCTTTTTGGCTCAGCTCTCTCTTCACGACAACAGACGCCGCACCAATCCGCCTATCAATCTCCCTCTCAAGCTTCCCCTCATTTGTGAACAAGACCCCAATATACTTAAACTCCACTAGATGCAGTACAGCCTCCCCAACATGGAGTGGGCACTCTACCCTTTGCCGGCTATAGACCATGGTCTCGGATTTCATGGACTAATCCAAGTAATTAGAATGTAAATGTTAATATCCATTTGAAAGACAGCTATTCGGGGGCATTACCAGCAGGTTTTAACACCTTGGACAGGGGTCTTTAATGCTTTCCAGGCCAAGGACCCCCAAACCGATGGCAAGATGGAGCAGGGACTCCCTAATTATTTATATTGTATGAAATTGTGTTATATTAAACTGGTCCTATAGTCACTCTATTACAGATGGTGTCCTTTAATGAAAGTAATTTTATTAAAGTATTTTGATTCCTGGTTGATGGGACAGGTGTTGTGAATGAAATGGTGCCAAGCTTGAAAGAGCTCCTGTGTGTCGCTGAATGTGTGCATTTATTATTTTATCTGTTTTACTAGTGTGTTGAATTCATGTTTATATGTATTTAAAGACATTGCAATTAGTAAAAAATATAAAAAATATTTAGAAAAGATTAAACCAAAGCTTTAGCGACCCCCATGCAGTACGTCTGTGGACCCCCCAGGGGTCACGGACCCCCTGTTGAAGACCTCCGATCTAGGACATTCTATTCTAAAAAGTAGCAAAAATCAATCAGATTGGTAAATCTGTGGACATAAAATCATCAAGATTTGCCTCAGATATGGGCTTTGCCTGGGTAAGTACACACTATGGCTCAATTGTCCTGTTTTTGGATCCGTTTACCTTCCCTTAAACTATGACTAGCTTTTTTTTTTTTTGCAGGATAAAAAAAATAACTTTGCATGAAATCGAAAACATTTAATCTGATAATGGCACCTTCTACGTCAACATCAAACAAAATGTCTTTGGTATTTCTTCCTATGCTGTTATTATGGCAAGAATTTAAGAATCCAAAACTATCAGGTCAACAGTTTCTCCACAGTTACCTCTTTGCTTTCTTTAATGCTTTCCCCACTGGCCTTCTATTTAAGACAGGAGATGTCTCACTTGGTGTGTGCCGTTTTCTTTTTTTTTAGACGATGGCTTAAATGGAGCTGTGTGATAAGGTTAAATCCGGAAATTGCTTTCCAGCCTAAACATCTCCACCAGTTGCTTTAGACATTTTCATTACCATGACCTAAACAAAACAGAACTCACTCTTCCCCTACAGTCATACAAAGAACAGAAAAAAAAGCAAGCCTGTTTTGTTGCATTTTTTTTTTTTTTATTGAATGAAAGATTTCAACTCAAATATTTTGAACAACTTTGGTCAACATGTAAAACTGTCAGATAGGGGGTAGAAAAGTCTTACTGACAAACTGCTATTCCAAGGTATGAAGCTGCTGGAACAAGTTTGTTCAGGTATTAAACCAATCCCAGCTTCTTTTGAAAACACATTCCCACCCTCTTTTCAATCCATTTCTTCAAACTGACCACTGTAGTTGCATACATTACTTAACTGGAAGCAAAAATCTTCAATCCTCTTTTAAGTGACCGTTAAAGTTTTACATAACTATCCTTTACACACATTAAACCCCAATTGCTTAAATCCCAGAGATAGTGATTCATGTATATCTACTTAAATTGTGTTTTTAAAGAAACAGTGACCCATCTCAATGCGACTGATGTTTTACTAAGTAAACACATGGTCCAAGTGACCAAGATGGAAACAAACAAACAAAAAAAGCCTCTGTTTACAAAGAACTGAGAGAAATACAGGAATAAGAATGTACAGAAAACAATTTCTTTGAAATTATTTCAGATAGTCTGTAGCAGAGGATAAGCAGATTTATTTGTTTGCTGCTGAGCTCACTGACTTTACAGTATCCCCTCATTATTAGTGCCTGCATAAGAAAAACATGGGAAAAATGCAGAACAAACCAAAAACAAGACCCCCTCCCCACCACAACTCGGGTCTCTCCACCTGTTTCCCAAAAGCTCCAACTTGAATTATTCCAAACAGGTACAAAGACCGAATATTCTTCACAAACTATAATTAACATGAAGGGATAAGAGGGCCCATGCAGCTCCTCTGTTTGACATGAATGCTGGTTTGTGATATGACATAACAGAAGAGGAACGCTCCGGGTTGGGAATCACAGGAAGGCGAGAAGCTGAGGAACAGGCTGTAGACACCTCCACCCTTTCCTCCTCTTCTTACTTTTCCTCCCATCCATTAATTCTTGATCAGTCCACCGTCTCCTTCGCTGACGAAACGCTTCCGCCCTCTGGAGGACAGAAATTTATTTAAAATGTGTTGCACATTTATGGAGGAGGAAGGAGCAGTCGACTGAGTTTAGTGCTTGGGGGGAAAAAAATGTAATTCCTTTTGCAACAGCATGAAAAGGCAACTGAGAACAAATCCTATAGGGGAACATAAAAAGAAAAGGGACAAAACGTAGAACCAATAATGTATGTCTATTGTATTAAAATTTCTCAATCTGTATAATGGGTCTGTTTTATGGGTTGCCTTCTCAATTCAGAGGGCCTCCTGCCAGTCTTTGCCTAGGGCCCTAAATTTCCTAAATCCACCCTTGCTATCACCTGTAAGTTGGACCCTGCATCTGTCTCTGCATGGCTGGCATAACTATTTCTGAGTCTTGCTGAATTACAAAAGACAAAGATAAGTTGCATTTTAAATGTAGCATAGCATTTTTCCTGTAAAGTTTCTATATAACTTGGAGATATATTTTAATGCATGTTGCCTATCCCACTGAATGCGTTTCCCCTTTAAATCTGCAGCTTTCCCTACTTGTGTCTCTGTGCTCTACTTGGATTTATGAACATGTCTGCCAATATAATGATGCCCAAAAAAATTTAAGATATCTAGACGCTCTTTTTAACTAGTAAAGAAAAAAACATTTAAACTCGATGTTTTGTCAAACCTATTACTTACACTCTATTGGCGCTTTCTGAACTGAAAAAGCTCTGTATGTCTAACGAACTGATTTTTTGGTGCCATGCTCTATTTTATTAGTTAATGGGGTGGACATGTCCCCACCAGTCTTTCGGAAAGTTGCGCATGTGCCTTAGATAATTTTTTGTGCGTTTTTAACTAATTTCTATTAGATATTACAACTGCCAAACTTTTTTTTTTATTCCATTTGCTACAGAAAACTACCAGCTACTTAACATTCTTAAAGGATTATTGTTTGTATTTTATACTTCATTAATACTGTATATTAGGCATCCCCAAACTCGGTCCTCAAGGCCCCCTGTCCTGCAGGTTTTAGAGGTTTCTCTGCTTCAGCACAGCTGGTTATAATGATTGCAGTAGACCAAAAGCCTGTTAATCAGCTTTCAATTAAAATCAGCTGTGCTGGAGCAAGGAAACCTCTAAAACCTGCAGGACATGGGGCCTTGAGGACCGAGTTTGGGGATGCCTGCTGTATATAATACAAAAATATAACTTTTTTTGTTTACTGATATAGAAACTTGAACACAATCTCTTGAAAATGACAGTACAATTGATGCGAGATCAAAAAACATTGTTAATATTCCCACATGCAGAAGCCATTTGATTTTTAAAAAAGATGTTTGCTCTGTGACTGTGATAACTTGTTCACAAGACCAAACCAAACAGGTTCATCTTTTTTTTTTGGCTATTACATAGGGTTCATTTCTCAAGTTCTTTGTTTCCAAATATAAATTTATAAAATACAAACTCTTACCCAAAATTTGAATAAAGTTTTAATAAATTCTAAGCAATAAGATCAAGGAAAAACCCAGGAAACAGTATTTATTATGATAAATGACACAACAGAACCACAGATTTGTTCCCATCTAATATACCACTAAGTGAGTTTTACACGGTTCTGAATTCATCTGACCAATGTGATGAAAAACTAATAAAACCTGATTGTAAAATCCAAAACTTTCATAGATAGTTTCTTTTTTTGTTATTTTTGCTATCAAAGAGAAAATGATCTAGGGACTGACAGCTGTTTTTTTTTAATCCATTAACATTTACCTATCATCATGAATGCTTCTTCTGGCATAACTAGAAATAAAGGTTTTGAAAATGAATGATTTATGGAAAACTTACCTGGAAGGACAAGCATCCCGCAACTGTTTGGTGATGACAGACTCCTGGTAGCAGAGATCCACAAAGGTCTCCATGATTTGATGGGCATGAGGCACATCCAGGCTGATTTCTTGCAGCTCATCATAAACGCGCTGGAAACCCTAAACGTAAATATTAAGTAATGAAAAGCTGTCTGGAAATATGAAAGGGTATTGTAATCTAGTCAAATTTACTTACCCTGTTCATCTGATCCACAGTGATGAGGCCTGTTTTCCAGAAGGACTGCAGAAGTCTCATCATCATGTTAGTGGCGGTGTCCCCATTTGACTCCAGTACCATCATTATGGCCTTACATAAAAAAACAAAAAAAAAACAAAAAGGAGAAACATGAACAAGCAGAAAGACCTTATCTTACCACTGTTACCTGTCATGTCCCGCACTTTATGTCAGTTTTTAAATGTCAGTCTTGTATATTTCTTGTATATTTGTATATTGCAAAGAGTAAACGTAATTTCATTTCCCTTGTATGTCTTGTACATATGTAGAAAATGACAATAAAAGCTGACTTGACTTGACTTGACCAGAAGTTTGGGGTTTTCGCCACATGATGGCAGTGTTTCTATACTCGCTGACTAATCTTCAACCAAAGGTTTGGCAGGGATAAGGAAAGAGCCATTTAATTTTGGGCTAGAGTCAATAAAATGTGAAATATATGATACCAGAGAGGCTAGACCTGAAGGAAAAAGGTCAGAATCAAAGAGCATGATCTTAATAGGAGCTGATAATGATTTAATACACTAACTCAATTAATATTCTTAATTTTTTACAAAATGATTTTACCAAAATCTTGACAAATGAAATCATGACATTAATTAAACTTAACAAATTCTGGTCACAAGAATGCAGCGTTAGAGCCACTCAGGTCTGTAGAAGAGCCATAATATGACCTGTATGACCTAAATAAAAACAAAATGGCCTTATTGAAGCAGGTTTTTGGTTTTTTGGTGAATAGCTCTATCAGTGTGGCAAAATCCACCCACTGTTCCTCTTGGAAAAAAACAATACATGGAATATTTTGTAAAATGTCTCCTAGTTTTAAAACGAAAGTTACGTATGTAACTACGGTTCTATGAATCCCGGATGACCGCCAGAGGGCGGTGCTGAAAGCACTGAATGTTCCCTTCGGGCATGCGCAGTTCGAGTAATTATACCAACAGAGTCACACCTGTGACACCGGATGACCACTCAGAAGCTATATAGCCTGGTGTCATCCTTTGCTCTGCTCCTACAGAATCTTCTCGCAAAAGCAAGGATTCTGAGTGACAGAGAAGCTCCGCCAGAGGGCGGTGCTGAAAGCACTGAATGACTAATGCCAACGATGTCACAAGGAATCCTGAGCACATACCTCACAGAGGAGGCCCAGCAGAACCTTGTAAAAGGACCTGACCCAGGGGATGAGGGGCAGCCACATTGACACTGTAGAACCTGGTGAAGGTGGTTGGGGAAGCCCATGAAGCAGCAGCACATATAGCTTCCAGCGGAACCCCTCTCAAAGCAGCCCAGGAAGCGGTGACGCTCCTGGTGGAATGTGCTCTCACACCGACTGGCAGGGAGCAGTGACCTGCAGCGTAGGCGTGGCAGATGACACTCACAATCCAATGGGACAGACGCTGTTTAGAAAGAGGACAGCCTAACCTTGGACCCCCATAGCATAGGAAAAGCTGGTCCGAGCGTCTCAGATTGGCGGTGGCTGCAATGTATGCCTCCAACGCTCTTACTGGGCACAACTCAGACTCATTCTCAGTTGTACCAGATTGAGGCTGAAACCGAGCCAGCCGCAATGGCTGGTTACAGTGAAAAGGAGACAACACCTTAGGCACAAACGCAGTATTAGGCCACAGGGTAACACCAGAGCCATCTGGATTCCACCTGATACACCTAGGGCTGACAGAAAGAGCATGCAGCTCGCTGACCCTCTAAGCTGAGACGATAGCCATCAGGAAAGCAGTCTTGCAGGAAAGCCACTTGAGTTCTGCTGGTGCCAAAGGCTCGAATGGAGGGTGGCACAGAGCTGTGAGAACCAACGGCAGATCCCAATCTGGGGCTTGTGGGGCTGGCTGCTGGCACAACCTACGAGCACCACGCAGAAAAAGTGAAACCAGTTCATGGCGCCCCACTGTACGGTTGTCAACAGTTCGGTGAAGACATGAAATTGCTGCAACATACACTTTAAGGGTCGAAGGAGAGCGGCCCTTATCAAGGAGAGACTGGAGGAACTCCAAAATAGTGGGCACCGAGCAGGAAACTGGGTTCTCATTGTGGGCAGAGCACCACTGAGAAAAGAGGCGCCATCTGTTAGCATACTGCAGCCGAGTGGAGGAAGCCCTAGCACTCAATACGGTGTGTCTCACGGTGTCTGAACACCCAGTCAGCCTCCCAGGGGCCATGCCCACAGCTGGAGACGTTGAGGGTTGGGGTGCCATATCTGTCCCCCCAACTGAGACAGCAGATCCCTCCTTGCTGGAAGACGCCATGGAGTACCGTGACACAGACTCCAAAGCAGCGGGAACCACGGCCGCGCTGGCCAGTACGGAGCTACCAGCAACACTCTGTGGCCCTGCTCGAGAACCCTCCGTAGAGTCGGCCAAATCAGTGAGAGGGGTGGAAAGGCATACAGGAGAACCTGCGGCCATGGATGAGCCAGTTCATCCTGGCCCAGTGCGCCCGCCATCCCGGTTAGGGAATACCATAGGGGGCAATGGGTCGACTCCTCTGTGGCGAACAGATCTACCTCTGCCTGCCCAAAGAGGTTCCAGATTATGCGCACTACGTCGCGGTGAAGAGACCACTCTCCCGGAGCAGGTGCCTGGCGGGATAGAGAGTCCGCAACCTGGTTCTGCCGTCCTGGCAGATACGCTGCGCGCAGGGTACACAGACGGGGAAACGCCCATTCCAGGAGATCCCTCGACACCTTCAAGAGACGTGCTGACCTGGTGCCACCTTGGTGGTTTATATGATAAACAACAGAGGGGTTGTCTGTCCGAATCAGCACGTGCCTTCCCTCTAGGTGGGGCAGAAGGCACATGAGGGCCATGTGCACAGCCCGCAGCTCCAGCACATTTATGTGTTCGGTGCGCTCCCTTGGGTCCCAGAGACCCCGAACAGCTCTGTGTTGCCACACGGCACCCCAGCCCATGAGGCTGGCATCCGTGGTGACCACCTCCCTTCAACACACTACTAGCCCCATTGGAACACCACTGGACAAAAGGGTCCCGTCTCGCCAAGGAGCTAGGGCATGGAGGCAGCTCCTGGTCACCATTAGCCTGCGATGCCTGTGCAGCCTGGCGTCTAGGCGAAAGCTGTTGAGCCATCGCTGCAAAGGACGCAGAAGGAGCAGCCCTAAGGGCACGACACGAGTGACTGATGTCAGTTTGCCCAGCATTCGCAGGATGATGATGTAGGGAAACTCCCTGCCCAGTCTGAATCGACGGACAAGCTGGAGTATGTCGTCCACCCTGTGAACAGATGGACGGGCCATCATGGTAGCAAAGTCCAGATGCATCCCAAGAAAGGTGGTTGTCTGAGATGGAACAAGACAACTCTTTGCCAAGTTGACTTTGAGGCCTAACAGTGACACATGAAGTAGAAGCTGGGACGTATCCCGAGAGGCAGCTACCTGAGAGGGAGCACAAAGAAGCCAATCGTCCAGGTATGGCAGAATCCTGACTCCGGAGGCCTGTAGAGGAGAGAGGGCTGCTTTCACGCATCGAGTAAACACCCTCGGGGAAAGGGAGAGCCCGAATGGGAGCACCCGGAATTGCCAATGGCGCCCCCGATAGGCAAACCTGAGAAAACGGCGATGTTCTGCCGCAATAGGCACGTGAAAGTAGGCGTCTGTCAGATCTACTGATGTAAACCAATCTCCCGCCACAATGGTCTGAAGGACCTCTGTTATGGTGAGCATGTGGAAGGGAAGGACCTTCAGGTACCGATTCAGTCCCCTTAGATCTAAAATGGGGCGAAAACCGCCGGTCTTCTTGGCCACAAGGAAGTATGTGGAGTAGTAGCCTCTGGGTTGCCGCAGAGGATCTACAGACTCGATTGCCCCCTTGCCCAGGAGGGCGGAAAGCTTCTGGTCTAGTGCCTGAGATTTCACCGGGTCTGTGATGACAGTTATCTTGACCCGGTGTGAGAGGGGGGGCCGCCTTCGGAACTGGAGCCTGTAGCCATTGGTTAAGGTGGCAACCACCCATGGATCTACGGCATGAGCAGCCCAGAAATTCAGCTGCTGATGGGAAAAATGGCCGACGGCTGGCCCGGTGGCATCATCTTCTATCCCCACGGCCCCTGGGGGCTCTGGGGGGAGGGCGTCCAGGATTTGAGGCTCTGTCTGTCTAACAGGGCGGCAGACTGGCTCACGAAAGTCCCTCCTCGGTCTCTGCCGCACATCATGGGAATAGGAACCAATAGGTCTGCCACCAGTCTGAGGTGGTGGCTGAACGCTGGGGGTAGTGGCAGGGCGGCCGGAACGCTGGGGAAAGGCAGGTATGCTCCTGCGAAGGCCGGAAAGCTGCTGGCTAGTCTGACGTGCCTGAGCAGTCCGTTCAAGCGCCTCCAAGGCAGCTGATCCAAACAGCTACCCTGGTACAACCGGGACACCCCTGAGGGTCCTACGGCATGCTTCAGTCAGAGGAGATTGTGCCAACCAGACCTGTCTACGAGCTTGGACAAGGAAAGACATGACCCGTCCAAGCTCTCTGGTCATCAGCGCGAAGGCCTGCAGCGCTGCGTCACTATAACCAACCGCCGCACTTGCACCACCAGTGTCCTGAACAGATGCAGACAGGGCAAACATGAGGTGCGCCAGAGAATTGCCAAGGCGGCCAGCACGCGCTCCTGCATTGTACGCCTTACAGAGGAGGTCATCTGTAACCCGACATTGAGTCCGCGAGCACCGGACATCAGGACGCAGGGCTTCATCTGGTGACACAATCAGTGAAGCAACAGCTGGTTCAATTGCTGGCATACGGTCCAGGCCGGCCTTCACCGACTCATGCATGGCAGCTAATACACGACCATCCGATGAGAGACGCGACAGCGCTCTCGGTTCCCGCCAACAGGCGTGTAACTCCTTCAAGTACTCCTCTGATGGGGGTACAGAAAAAGGAGTAGGAGCCCTTCCACGTCTGAAAAAGGCACTGCCGGAGCTGGATGCCTCTCCTTGTGGGAGTTCCAGCTGCAGCTGCTTCAGGGCCATAGACATGACCTCCCGCATGGAACCGTCACCGGCCTCTCCAACCGCACTCTGAGATGAAAATGAACCAGCCTCAGAGGCTTGAGAGGACCCTGCCTCCTCCTCATCTCTAAAATGAGAAGCGGAAGCAGCCAGAGAGATAACGTCATCCTCTACAACCAGCTCGGGCATTGGTGGGGAAGAGAGCCCAACCACTGGGAGCGAGGGATCAGATTGCCGTGTCTGCAACAAGGACTTCATCTCTGCCAGCTCTGCTGACAACTGCTCCTCCCTTGTGGACAGGCCCTGGTCAGGTTTGGCCCGCTTCCTCCGGGGGAGGGGCACAGATGCTGTGGTCCCACCACGGCGCTTAGAACGCTTGGGGGGAACCACCTGCCCAGAGGGCGGAAGGTCCGAGCCCTCCTGGGGGCACAACTGGGCCAACCGGGCCACCCTCACTGCATGGGGCATAAAGCTGCAGTTCATACAGGGGTTCTCAGACAGCGCCTCCAAAAGGTGCTCATGTCCAAGGCAGGTAGGGCACAGGTCGTGGCCATCCTCTGCCTGCAGGGCAGCCCCACAATCCATGCAGCTGTGAGAGCCATCCATGTCGAAGGCCGACAAGGCTTAAAGAACAGAAAGTTATCGAAAATCGGGAGAGGGGGCGCAAACGCAGCCGTCACCAATTACAGCAGAGAAACGAAAGAGGCTGCGAGCACAAGGCAGCCGATACTGGGAGAGGGGGCGAGAACCGCTACCGTCACCAGGTATAAAACCAATAAACCAAAAAATCGAACAACGTTAGCTGTATGGAAACTTAAGTTGGGAGTAGGAGCGAACAAGCTGCCGTCACCAATTAAGAGAGCAGACCAACGAAAAGGCTGCAAAAAAGGTTGATTTTGGGAGAGGGGGCGAAAACGCTGCCGTCACCATTCATAACTAAGCAGACCGATGAAGAAGGCTGCAAACAAACCAAAAAAGGCTAACAACGTTAGCCGTCTCCAACTTCGGCAAACGAAGTAGACCACACTTGGTTGGGAGAGGGGGCGAAAACCGCGGCCGTCAGTAATTATAGCAGCGCAGACGGGTGAAAAAAAGGATGCAAAAGTAGGGAATATACTGGGAGAGGGGGCGAAAACCGCTGCCGTCACCAGGTATAACACCAACAAACTAAAGAAGCTAACTACGTTAGCCGTATATAACTTCGGCAGTGAAGTTATTCACACTGGGAGTAGGGGCGAAAACGCTGTCGTCACCAGTTCGAAACAAAACAGCACGAAGCTGTAGGTAAAAAGCTAAAGTCGTGAGCCGGGAGAGGGGGCGCGGACGCTACCATCACCAGCAAACAACTCACTTACCTTCCGTATTCCTCAGAATCGACCCGTTGCAGCCCTGGGAGGGCGGAGAATAACCGCAACTCCGGTCAAGATACAGGGGCTTCAGACAACGGGGAAGTTAGCGAACCGCTTGCGAGAAGAAAAAAGGAGCAGAGCAAAGGATGACACCAGGCTATATAGCTTCTGAGTGGTCATCCGGTGTCACAGGTGTGACTCTGTTGGTATAATTACTCGAACTGCGCATGCCCGAAGGGAACATTCAGTGCTTTCAGCACCGCCCTCTGGCGGTCAGTAGGGAGGAAATAGAACAGGGATTGTTTTTATACACCAACGGTTGTTTGGAAGAGATTTTTCATACTATAAAAAGCAACCAATAAATATGGTTGCTAAATGATACCAGGGCATTATGTTTTACAGTCTCTATACTTCATTTTAAGATTAATCGATTACTAAATTAGTTGATGAATTTTTTATTAATCGATTAATCCCGATTAATCCGATTAATTGTTTCAGTCCTATTTGTGACCATTTATCTTTCCACCATTAACAGAGGAAAGGTAAAAAAAAAATCTCTGCCACATGTTTATTATGAAATCATCCTACTGCAGTAGATATTGTTCTGTAAAGATACGTCACAAAATAACCTACCAGGGGTGATGATAAAGGTTAAGTGACCCTCTTTGAAAATGTGCTCCTTAACCCATGGTTAAATTTGGTGGATAGAATTCCCACCAAATAAATTTATAGAAATATGTTTTATATGTTTCATAGCAGATTATTTGCTGTATGTACATTGGCAACTAAAAAAATCTAAGCTCATGAATCCTTTTTAGTCAACTTGGACTCAGCTCTTGATCTGATTCCACTGAAAATTAGAGAAAGTAATTGGCAAACGAAGAATGTCCCTGGCAAAAAAACAAAAAGAAGTAAAAATGTATGTTTACAGCTCTTTTTTCACTTGACTTCAAAATAAACCAGCAAGAAAGAAAAATACATTACAATAATAATTTAAAAAAGCATGCAAAAGGTAGGACTGGCTGAATACCTCATAGACCAGCTCATGGTGGAAGTGAGGGACCTCCAGGTCCCGCAGACAGTGCTCCGCCTCAGAAACATCTCCAGATATCAGGTACTCTTTGAGGAGAAGGTTCATCTGCAACAAATACAAATGAGGTCCCAATGAAAGGTGAAGACATTCAACTGGAGCCACTCCGGTAAGAGAAATCTGAAATCCAGCTAAAGCTGGACAAGTTTCAAGATTACCAACTTATATCTTTAGAATCCAAGAGAAATAGGGGAGTACTACACATAAATCGCTGTGATGCATTTCATGTTTATTTAAAGAACAATACAAGGGACTCGGAATCTCAATGATTTCTACACGCAACCTGACTCAGAGTTGACATTGAGGTTCCTGCATATTTCAGTTTATAACATCTATTTAGGCATGGTGACCAATGTCCTTCAATCAAATTCAAATCAGATGGTTAAAAGATGGACAAAGTTGATCCAACACATGCATGAACAGTCTCTTCTAAAGAACATTAAGAGTAAATGTGGATTATTTTCTCTATTAACACCTACAACCGCCCTTAAATCTTGCAGGAATTAGTCACTGCAACCAAAAGGGAGAACACTGCACTCTGCAGGATGCTTTGAACCATCTGAGCTGGAGCTGTGCTTCTGAGTCACTGAGATGGAAATCTGTGCATGTTTGAGTCTCAGCAAGGAAAAAATTAAGTCATCTGATCAGTGAAAAGGAAAATAAATAAAAGGATAAAATAGTCTGCTAACCAGCACAATCATAGTGAGATTTTAGATATTAGAAGCTCACATCAAAGATAATCCTTTATCTTATAACACATTTTATTGTGCTAAAGCGAGTGAAATGAGAGCTGCCCAAAGATATTTTGCTGGAAAGTTAGAAACACTTTAGAGGGAATGAAAAATATCTTATGATTTATTAATCTGGAGACATTTTAGGTGCATATCTTCACATAACCAGATAATCTGGGCCAATAATGTTGGCTGTAGTCTCTTTACGCCATTAAGATGATATAGTAGATTTAGGAATTATTTAAAATTATGAAAGAATATAAAAAAGAGGAAGTGAAACATTGTGTGTAACTAAAACAGGTGTTTTAGTTTACAGTGACATGTTGAATGATCACAGGGGACAATTCTTATTTTGACTTATTTTGAGACCTGAATCCGAACAAATTATGCTGATGTTCTGAGTGAGAGAGTTGTTTATGCTTACACTTATCTCAGCCTAAGTCTAAACCAGACGGAACGTCCAAAGGTCTGTAGCGCCACCATACTCAGATAGAAGTCACCCTGACATGACGAATACTTGGAAATGTTGTGTAATAATTAGACAGGCCGTCAGCTGAAACTACCACTTAAAAAATTATGAAAAAAAAAATAGAATAAAAAAACTTTCCAGGATTGGTTTGATAGCTGTAACAACAGAACAAACAGTCATACAAATAGGAGTTAGCTGGCTGGTTTTAACTGTGCCCACTTCTGAGAGGACTGTTCTGCTGACACAGCAGTCCAGCACCACATTGGCCTGTGGATCCCTACCCAGCATGCATTTCTACCTTCTGTTTATGTTACATAATAAACAAAGACCATGTGATGGTCGGTGTAAATTCTCTGAGCTCAAAGGTTTAAAACCACCATAGAACTCGATAAATCAGACTGATTATTAAATGAATCATAAAAGAGCTTGGCCACAGCTCACCTTTTTGACGAGATGCTTCACTGGTCTCAGACCTCCACCAACACCCCAAACGTTATCGAGACCAATCATCCCCTTCTTCATGGACAGCAGCACTGCTGCACGGTCTAAAGCCACTCTGGACAAAGACAGAAATAAAGGTTCGAAGACAGCTCTATACATCTTCTTTTTAAGTGAGAGAAAATAGAGTTAATGTGTTTGAGAAATCCATAATAAAGTCAACATCGCCTCTGCTGGATTACCTGGCGTGCTCACAGTCCACTTTCCCTTTGTAGGTATCCAGGAAGGTCATGGGAAGGACGTGGTCGGCTATGCCGCGGGCTATGAACTGGCCTAACATCTGGAACAAACAGGATGAAACATCATTGGAGAGCGATAAAGAAAACGGAGCAGTATGTGAGAGTAGAGCAGAGCAACTTGGAAGATTCCTACACATGTGAGGAATCAACACATTTCACAGTTCAGCGTTGTTACCACTATTTCTATTTATTCACCGGATTGCTGATAGGCCGTTGGTAGTACACGGTGCTGTGAAGTCACCAGCCGCCATATTGGTACTCCCTAGTTAGACCGGTCAGAATGTAAATGATACGTGCACTACAGCATAGAAATATGATCACAGCATCTGTAGACTACTGTGATTTGTGGTAAAAAAATACGCACATCACATTGCAGAGTCAGTATTAAGTCTATAAATCATGTAATACAACATATTATACAAATCCATCACAACAAAATTAGTGTGTTTAAGGAACATAATAGTCAGATATTGAGAATATTACACAAGCACACATACACTATTTGATGATGTGCCAAAAGAGCTAAATTGATCATGTACGTGTAATATACATGTATTGCTTAAAATGTTATGGTAATTACATTAGAGGCATTTTTATGGCGCAACTCCATGAAAGTGGGGAGAACTAAGATGGCAGCAGGTGACTTCAGTTTCAATTTTTCCCATTACGATTTGGAAAAGTGAAAATATGGCACAAATAGATAAAAATATTTCTTTAATTTCCTGATTTCTTTTACAAGGCTGTTCACCAAAGCTAATTTAAAATATATATATATTGTATTTTCCGGACTATAAGCCACTTTTTGTTGAAATAAAAAAAAACAATGGTATATCTTTTATTTAGCACAAGAACATGCAAGCAGCAGGCACGTCAGAACAAATGCTCTGAATTCCTACATTTCAAACATTGACATTTATTTGCAGCATTAAAGCTGACGAACCAATGAAGAGTCTGGGCTCAACTCCTGCAGAGCTAAAATAAAGAGCTGACGAAGTATGCAGGTTATTTTGTTTCAAAACTATGTGTGCATTGTAAGTCTGAATTTGAAGTTGTAGAGAAAGTTATCTTCTAAGTTTTGTACTTGTAGAATAAAATAATAATAATAAAAAAAAAATCACATTATTTTTTTTTCTTTACACCTGTTCAAGTACACAAATTCTGTCTTACAAGTTGCACATCAAAAACCTCTTAGATTCTCAGTTTTGCTCCAAATGGCCCAAAACTATTGTTGTATTCAAAGATTTGTATTAGGGACAAAAAAAACAAAAAAAAACATAATATATATATATATATATATATATATATATATATATATATATATATATATATATATATATATATATATATATATATCTTTGTGAATTTTAATTTTAATACACGTGTTTGAATTTGTTTTGCACCATTTGTTTTAGATCTGCTGTAGCAAAACAGAATGGAAGACATTTTTGATGTGCAACTCACAGAACACAGTTTGTGTACTTAAGAATTTGAAGAGGTGTAACTTTTTTCTTTTTTAATTTTGCCAAATTAAAAAAAATCTACAATTACACCAAAGTTACAAAGCACAATTAGTTTTGCAACAATAGTTCTGGACCATTTGGAGCAAAACTGAGAATGTAAGAGGTTTTTAATGTTCAACTTGTAGGACAGACTTTGTGTACGTGTACTTAAAATGTGAACAGGTGTAAAAAAAAATGTTTACTCTGCAAATACAAAACTTAGGCTCTATTCGAAAACCTAGTACGCATCCTTAGAAGACCGGATTCGAAGGCCGATTACGTCATAGCGCGGCGCCGAGGTCTGGTCGGATTCCAAGAGTCCTCGTTATGCGGCCTTAAAATGCGTCCTTCTTTTTGCCCGATTTGAAGGACGGGTCTGGTGTATCCTCGCCATCCTTGGTTTACCCAGGATTCATTGCGAGACCAAGCAAGCCGTGATCAGAGTAAAGGTTACTTGGCGCCAAACAGTGGTGAAAATTGGAAGTTCAGTTTAATGTAATACAAGTCATTTAATAGTTCCGTCTGAGATTAATGAAAAATAGTTGTTTTAATGGTCATTGAGTCAGATATGTGGCGGTAATGTTTGGTTTATCTAAAGGTTTTTATCTGTTACTGTGTAAATGGATTTGGCTGGAATTTAAGGACAGATTCTAATAGATCTGCAGGGTGGGAACTATAAATCTGATAGGATTTTTATCTTTTTATTGCTGTTTTGCACAATATGCTTAACTACGTATTTTTTGTTGTTGAATATTAGAGATTTTGCAGATATATTTTTTTATAAATACATTGTTTAGATTTACTTATATCTTTCTACCCCTTTTATAGAATAGAATAGAAAATCCCTTTATTGTCCCACAATGGGCAGATTTACAGCAGCAGAAAGATTATTGAAAATGGTCACACAAATGTGGACCTTAGGAAAAAATGTATAAGAATAACATAATAGGGAAGAGTTAAAATATAAACAATAAAATCCTGTAAAGTGTTTTAACAATATAAAACTGGAGAATAAATAACCAATATGCAGCTATGGACATTTTTACAGTAATGGATATTTGAAAATAGCAGCAACATGAGAGATGTGCAGAATGACAGCATTAGGTTATTTAACTGACTGAGGTTTCTATCATTACATTTGATTTTATTTGTCCCTGCTCCCGGTGGTTGGAACCTTTATTCCACTCTGGATTCTTGTGAGTGTAGTCTTTGTTCACTTTACAATAAAAAAGAAATAAATAAACAGTTTTGAAAACTTGTGTATTCATTCTTTTCCTGCTTTGTGTGTCAACGTTTACGGTTGCTAAGCAACAGAGCATATAGCGGTAAAACCCGTCGAAGGGTAGACCTGGTCGAATTCACAGCCTTAACTCTTCCGGTCTCCTTATTTTCAAGGACTTCGAAGGATCCAGTCTAGGTAGACCGCGTCCTTGGAGGACACGTCCTAGGTTTTCGAACAGAGCCTTAGACTGCAACTCTCTCTGCGACCAACAAACTAACACAAGCTGGCTTTCTTCTGCTTCCCCAGGCTAGAATCTTTATGTAGAGCACCCCCTACTGGCTTGGTGGGAGATGGTTCAATAGAAATCAGCGGTTTATATATGTACATTTCCAGTTTTTCAAAACATTTAGTGGGTGCGGCTTATTGCGAGGTGCGCTCTATAGTCCGAAAAATGCAGTACATGGAATTCAATAAATTTAATGTCAAGTATGAGTTACTTTAAGTACTTGCCTGGCTTTCTTTAACGCATGTAAGTATGTATGTTTTATTTATAGAGCACATTTCTAAGACAAGCGTAACAAAATGCTGTACAATATGAGGGATAAAACTAGGGATGGGAATCGAAAACCGGTTCCTGTTAAGGACCGGTTCCGTATTTTCTGATTCCATGGCATCGTTTGGCAGCTCGCTGAACGATTCTTTTTTCGATTCCCGCAGCAACAGAGCCTAGAGCGCCGGCTCTGGGGAGCACGACTTACGTCACGTTTTTTACGTAAGTTACGCAAGTTGGAAGAACTATTCGAGGAAGTAGACAACGAGCTGCGGTCACTTTGTGAATCAAAGCCCCGTCTTTCCTTAGCCCAGAGGGTAGATCAGGAAATCCAGCTCTGTAAAAGCTTGCCCTCCATCCCCTGCAGGGATAGCGCCACACTGTGGTGGTGGAACAAGCAAGATACGCTGCCCTTGCTATCTGGACTGGCTGAAAACTACCTCTGTGTGCAGGCTTCCTCCACCCCATCTGAGAGGGTATTTTCCACGGCTGGAGACACCATAAGCCCTGAAAGATCCTGTATCCTTCCAGAAAAAGCAGATATGCTCATCTTTCTGCAAAAGAACTGTTAATTTTCCCTACTACTGTTTTATAATTAGTATTTTTTGTTATTTAAAATAGGTTATTATCCCATCATTTGTTATTAGACATTGTTGGTTATTAAGTTTGTTCTTGTATATTTATTTTTCATTTAAACACAGATGTTACTCCAGTTTCACATTTCCTGTGGACATCTTGATCTTGTTGAGTTTGTACGATTGTGCAATAGTTAAGTAAACAAAGTTGATTCTGATAATCAAACTGTTTGTTCTCCTTTTTCCCCCAAATTGGAATCGAAAAAAGAATCGATAAAGAATCGAATCGTTTCATAGAATCGAAAAGGGAATCGGAATCGTGAAAATCTTTTCAATTCCCAACCCTAGATAAAACACAACGTAGCACCATGCACATGTAACTTACAGAAAATTTCAGATTTTTTGAAGTTGTGTGGGAGTGTACATATGGCCTTTTAAGAAAAACTTCTCACTTTTTAAAATTTCTTTTAGTTGATCATGATTTAAGCATTCAACAAACAGATCAAAACAGATTAAGTAAAAACAAAAGAAGCCAGCAGACTAGGAGAAGCCAATCCATAAAACAGAGAGGAAAAGAAAAAAAAAAGCTAATTTTAAACGCCTGTGTTGATCTCTAATCTTTTAAGTGCCTTACGCCCTGCTTTGCCTCTCCTCCCTTCTAAGCAAACACCACAGAGAATGGATCCAAGGTTCTGGCTTCAGTATATCAGCTCTACCTGAGGGGCCTCTGGTGTGTCCAGAATGAGGTCTGGCAGCTCTTTAAGCATCTTATCGAAAGCATGGGCGATGTCTTCTTGTGTGAGCATCTTCCCAGACAGATCGGAGAGCAGACGGGAGGTCAGCTCCCTGTGACTGGCCTTGCCTTCAAGGGACAGGGACACTGCCACGGAGGTAAACTCGTACTTATGCTGGCCCAGGTTGAGCTCCTTTAGCAACGCCTAGAAGGGGCACAAGATTGAACATGAGTCTGGATCTAAAACTCACTTATATGCACAAATAGACAATGCTAATGCTCTCTAAACCCACTCATTTCTGCATAACCAATGTATTTGTACATAAAAGGAAGCCTTCTGAGATCCTTACCTCAACCTCTTTTGTGTCTCCATGTTCAAAGTACTCCAGTACTATTGGGTTTACCATTTTTTCTAGTTCCTTCTCTTCTACCTCTGGCACAACTGTTTCATAAACAGTGTCACCCTGTGGTGAAACACATAAAAAACAATGGATTACAAATTATTACAAAATATACACAAATATGCTCCAAGTGGCTTTACGGTTACAGTAAACAGCCGATGTATTCACACCACTGCAAGTTGGCCAACATCATAATCACAGACTTCAATGGATTTTATTGAGATTCCAGGTAAAGGAGCAACATAAAATCATCTAACTGACGTGGAAGTAAAATTGCTCATGATTTCCTAAGCAAACCCACCTAATGGGATAAATAAACACTAAAAAAACACATGAGCTTCAGCTATTAAGGCTCAGGCAGAGGTTTGTCCTGCCAGAGATATAACAGGTGGGTTTCCATCCAAACAGATTGTTTTTAGAATGGCCTAGTCAAAGTATAGATTTTAATCAAACCTGTGGCAAGATGTGAGAACTGCTGTTTTCGTTGGATTGAACCATAAACAAACATCCAGCGGTACAACGGGATGGTAATTAAAAAAGCAGACCTTAACCTGATCAAGAATCTATCAAAATTGGAAAAGGTTTCAGCCTCAAGCACGACAGGGTTTGGAGGTTAAAGAACACTTTGCACACTTTTTGCTTTATATTGCAGCATCTACTAGAAAAGCAGGGAGAGCACGGCTCTCTGCCTGAGTAGCTCTTTCCCCCCCGCCATATTGTGACTTCCACCCTCAGTTTATACCTGTATTCACAGAATATATATATATTTTTTTTATTCCTGGATACAGATGGTGATCTGGATCATCAGCAAAAAGGAATCACTTGTTGCCAGTCACAATATGCAACAGATTTTAGCAGAATCCACCCATAACTTTTGTAGTTATTTCGAAAACAGACCAAAAAAGGGACAAACCACCAGCAATGAAAACAAACAACATACAATTAAGTTTGGGATCGTAAGATAAAAAAATGCATAAACCATTAAAGAACTACATTTTATATTCCTCTTCTTTAAAGACTGTCTTAGTTTCCACATCAGTGCTGAATAATATTTCCCCTCACTGACATTTTCCCATACACATGATGACCCTGTATGATCTACTACACAGCCTGACTCAAAGGCCATACCCACTGCCTGCATCCCCATTTATTTTTCTGTACCACCCGGTCCCTGCTCCTTTTCGACACTCCACATATTTGTACCGACACTGTGCACCCATCAAGGCCAAATCACATCAGCTCCTGTGAGCCATTCCCAAAGACCGTTATCAGGCTTTTACCCCCTCCTTTCTGACAGACAGAAGCTCAGTTCCCACCACGGAATGCATTCATGTGATCGAAGCAGGGAGAAAAACCCGTCAAGCGTTCAGCATCACATCCCGCATTCACATGATAAACAGGGTTAAAGATTGAAAGCAGGGTTGATTGTGATGGGACGCCACCATCTGGATTAAACAATCGAGCCAGTCGCCTTGGTGTAATGAGCTTTTGCCAAATCACATGCTGCGTTATGCCTGATCTCTACCCGGATGGTCACACAGGGAGAAAATGAGCATGATCACTCAATGTAGATTTAGCTTTATTTAAAACTAAAATTACAAACAAGGTCTACAATAATTCAATATTCAGCTCTAAGAGAGAGCGCATTACAAATTAATGCTAATCCTGTCCACATGAGGAAGACTGAGAAAAGGCTTTTGGTAATAAATAGAGATGCACCAATCCAGTTTTTTCCGCCTGGGAAGATCGATCGGGCCGACATAATTCAGCTAATGAATTAATAAACTAGGGCTGAACGATTTTGACAAAACTCTAATTTGTGATTATTTTTAAGAAATATTGCAATCGAGGCTTTATTTTGATTTTCCTTTACACAAACCACAAGCTTGTAGACGCTTAATTTAAGGTTTTACAGTTTTTTTATTATGCTTCTCCAGAGTCCATTTATGCAGGACTTTGCTAAACCCCATGCGTGGAAAAGTACTTCTACTCACATGCATGGATCTGCGTGCAAGTTAAAACCCTCTAGCATTCTGTGTGGTGGCAATCACTCACCTGATTTCAAATACACTATATTGCCAAAAGTATTTGCTCACCTGCCTTGACTCACATATGAGCTTAAGTGACATCCCGTTCCTAATCCATAGGGTTCAATATGACGTCGGTCCACCCTTTGCAGCTAGAACAGCTTCAACTCTTCTGGGAAGGCTGTCCACAAGGTTTAGGAGTGTGTTTATGGGAATTTTTGACCATTCTTCCAGAAGCGCATTTGTGAGGTCGCACACTGATGTTGGACGAGAAGGCCTGGCTCTCAGTCTCCGCTCTAATTCATCCCAAAGGTGTTCTATCGGGTTGAGGTCAGGACTCTGTGCAGGCCAGTCAAGTTCATCCACACCAGACTCTGTCATCCATGTCTTTATGGACCTTGCTTTGTGCACTGGTGCACAGTCATGTTGGAAGAGGAAGGGGCCAGCTCCAAACTGTTCCCACAAAGTTGGGAGCATGGAATTGTCCAAAATGTCTTGGTATGCTGAAGCATTCAGAGTTCCTTTCACTGGAACTAAGGGGCCAAGCCCAGCTCCTGAAAAACAACCCCACACCATAATCCCCCCTCCACCAAACTTTACACTTGGCACAATGCAGTCAGACAAGTACCGTTCTCCTGGCAACCGCCAAACCCAGACCCGTCCATCAGATTGCCAGATGGAGAAGCGCGATTCGTCACTCCAGAGAACGCGTCTCCACTGCTCTAGAGTCCAGTGGCGGCGTGCTTTACACCACCGCATCCAACGCTTTGCATTGCACTTGGTGATGTATGGCTTGGATGCAGCTGCTCGACCATGGAAACCCATTCCATGAAGCTCTCTGCGCACTGTTCTTGAGCTAATCTGAAGGCCACATGAAGTTTGGAGGTCTGTAGTGATTGACTCTGCAGAAAGTTGGCGACCTCTTCGCACTATGCGCGTCAGCATCCGCTGACCCCGCTCCGTCAGTTTACGTGGCCTACCACTTCGTGGCTGAGTTGCTGTCGTTCCCAAACACTTCCATTTTCTTATAATACAGCTGACAGTTGACTGTGGAATATTTAGGAGCGAGGAAATTTCACGACTGGATTTGTTGCACAGGTGGCATCCTATCACAGTTCCACGCTGGAATTCACTGAGCTCCTGAGAGCGACCCATTCTTTCACAAATGTTTGTAAAAACAGTCTGCATGCCTAGGTGCTTGAATTTATACACCTGTGGCCATGGAAGTGATTGGAACACCTGATTCCAATAATTTGGATGGGTGAGCAAATACTTTTGGCAATATAGTGTATAAAATTACCGATATCCGGTAATATAATTGGTCAATATCGGAGCAGAAATTCGATCCATGCACCAGATCGATGCATCTCCAGTAATAAGACAAGTATGAAAACCAGTTAGATGCTCTACTTAATTTCTATTCCACACTAGTACACTGCTGAGATGATTCCCAAATCACAAAAAGCCCAACTCATGCAGTTTAATTATCTAGAACAGACTTCAGACTTGAGCTTAAGAGAAAAATAGTCCATATCTACATGTATATATGTGAATAAAAAAGTAAAATCAATTTCACAAGAAAAACTGAGCTATTTAGTAAATACTAGGTTCGAATATGCTTCATCAAATATAATACTTAAATGTTTAATGCTGAAAATTTCATGTCTTTCAATGGCACTAGAGAAGATAAAAAAAACATCCGACATAAAAACATAAATAATTCTAAGATAATATTAAAAATGCTTCATGTCTGGTTATTCCAATGACCCTTTGAGACCAACTGACCTGAGCAGCTTCATCATAGTTGGGGTCTAGTACATCCGGCTCCTCAGCTTCATAAACCATTCCAGGAGCGCCCCAAACTCCTTTACCGCCAGCCCCACCTGAACACAATAGGACAGGAAAGACCTTAAAGGAAGCTCTTAGACACAACCTGGGATTTTCTCTAGTAGTTTCCTTTGACAATTGAAAGAAGTTATATTAGTTCCAGCTCATCTAGGTTTTTGTATATGAGGCATGACCTGGATCAACAAACACCTTCAGGAATAAATCCAACAGAGGATCCAAAGTCATGCCTACCTTTCTTTGGCAGGCCTCTGCCTTTGCCTGTCCTCGACTTGCGGTCGTTGTTGTGGACTTTGCCCTTCACGGCGTGTGGGTCCCCTCCCGGCGTCTCACCCGATTCGGAGATTGACTCGCTCTGCGAGTTGCGGGAGGAGGACCTGCGCAGGCGCCGCTTGGCCTTTGCTTTGAGGCGAGCCTCATGGAGTGCTTTCTCTTGGGGTGTCCAGTTGCCGTTGACCTCCGCCTCATCCAGTCCGTCATCACTGTAGGTTCCTCTGGCCTCAGCCTGGTGGTCCACAGCAACTGCCTCTGTGGTCAGAAACCAGCAATTTTGAAAATAAGACAGAGAGACAAATACAACAGACTAAAGCAGAATTTTGTGGCATTTTTCCAATCAATGCTCTTTGTAAATCTTTGAATTGCAGAAACTGATGGTAGCCACACATATTTCTTTTAGAGAACCATAATAAACAGAGTTCAATGCACTGTTCTCTACTATTCCAACTTTGAAAGGGGATTGTTTATACTAGCAGCACAGGTGGTAATGTCCTATCCGTGGGTAAGAGCAGTCTCTAAACAGCAGGGTGTAATCACTTTGAAACAAACAGGCTTTAGTATATTGTACTGCTGATTACTGTTCATTATTGTTATCATTGAAACAGTAGCATCTTTGTGCACATTTCAGAAAACAAGCAAAAGGGACCGAACACAGAGAGCTGTGGTTTGTTCAGCCTTCCTGGTATCAGGTAAAAGTCTTGTTCTCTCTCAACATGTTGCACAAAACACTTTAAGAGAACTTCTTAGATGTCCTGACGAGATCATTTGATACCTCACATATTGTAATTAGGTAACATCCAAGCGTCCTTCAGTCAGCAACAACTTCCACTCTTAATATTGTTGCGAGTGTGACCATGTAGTGCTAAGGTCTCCAGCTATACATGACGTAAATTGGTGGGTTGATGTTCCTACTGTATGCCAATCAGAGCTGAGCCTTTTGAAGGCGATTCGGTCAGTGAATCTTTCCCACTTCCATTAAAAGCTGGTTGGTTGTTAGACAGGTTTTCTTTTGCTAGTGGGAAATGGGTATAACAAAACTGGTTATGTTGTTATTCTGCAGGACATTTCTAATGAATAAGCAAAATGTTCTAATCCATTTTTACAACCATGATTTTAATTGCTCAGAAACTGTTCAACTTTTCTGTTGTTTGTTAAGGATTTATGTATTCTGGGGTTCTGCTGCGGTGTGCAGGTAGAGCGCATGACCCACGTACCAGCCATGCAGACCTTTGATCAATGTGTCACAATGTGTAATGAAGGCCACTTTAGCCTAAAAAAATAATCTAAAAAAAGATTTCTGTATTCACATACAGAATTATATTTATTGCTTTGACTGCCCCCAACCAACACACCCACCCAAAAACCATCTGCTTTATCCCAACTGCTGCTCTGGCCTTCCCAAGCCCTGCATTGTTTCAGCCACCGCTACCATTGACCTTTGCGTGGAGCCGTGTATGTAGAAGGATTGGTGTTGCTTGGTGTGCAAACAGAAACTGGATTTACTGGCGAGGATAAAACCAAAGACTAACAGCTTCTTTTCTTTAGCCAAAAGTTCTACGCTTTCATTTCTGAGTTAGTTACAAAACTTTTTTATTGGTATTGTTATGCCAAATAGGCTGACATAAGCCATTTCTGATAATTGTTATTACTACCTTGAGCTTTGGGTATGTTTGCATGTTTACTACTTATATTAGCCCTTAAAATAAATTTGTAATCTGTGATTGCCTTCACAGATTAATATTAAGCATTACTCATACACTCAATAAGCAGTAAAAAAAACAAAAAAAACAAAGCAAAACTTACCCCTAAACTCATGTCTAATACTATTCCTGTGTTGGTGAAATCCTATATTTAGTTATCAGTTTAAAGTGTATAGAATAGCACAGGGAGGGCAGCTGCAGCCAGGAAAGGGAGGGAGGGAGTAAACCGAGCACATGCTGGAGAAATGCTGACACCAGATTTTTTTTTTTTTTTTTTAAACAGTGGACCTGACTACATATGGCTTGGGTGGATGCAAGTTTGATCCCATGACGTGGAAAGCAGCAACGAGGCAAGGCAGGAACAAGCAGATCCGAGGGTGTAATTAAAACCTAAATCATTCAAACGGCAGATTGCAGTCGAAGGAGAACTATTTTAGAGGATCGATCCTCTGAATGGTTCTTGCTTTGGCCTTAGACTTAGACTTGACTTTACGTCAGCTCCAATGCCTGTTATGCATTGGAGCTGGCCAGTTTTAGGAAAGCAACATTGGATTCTATTAGGATAATAATTTGATTTCTATAAAAAAAACAACAACAAAAAAGCAATTCTCTTTTAACTTTTGCTCTTTTTTTCTTCACAAAAGACTCACACTCTTAGAGGCCATTATCTAAAACATTGCTTTCATTAATAAACTGTATTGGCCTGCTATACATTATAAGAGGATTCTTTCAGGTAGAACATCTATATCAGAGTAAATAATCTTTTAACACTGCTTTGCAGAAGTATTTTCAACATCTCTGGAGAAGCTGCAGAAGACCACGGCTGAGGCAGAACAATTTGTCATGCCAACAAATGTGGACTTAATAAAATGATGGTAGGAAGAAAGCCAATGATACAAGACAGCCATAAGACCAATTTATCGTTCAACATTTGAGTGGGAGCACAGCCGACATGCCGAGGAAGGTGCTCTGATCTAATAAGACCAAAACCTAACTCTGTGCAAAGCACAGGATGCTATGGTTTTGACATTCCCCTATCATGAAATCTTCTTTTAGAAGATAAATTTTTCTGTAAGAAAACCTGTAAGATGCCAAAACAAAACAAAAGAAAGGATTTGAGAATGTGGCTGAGGGTCATCCTCCAACAAGATATACTCTACGCATGGAGCCAAAGCTACAATAGAAGGATTTAGATCAACAAATATTCAAAGGTTAGAATTAGGGCTGAAACAATTAATCTGATTAATTGATTATCTAAATAATCGTCAACCAATTTAGTAACCGATTCATCGTTATCTGGAGTATAGACACTCTAAAACATGCCTTTCGATGACAGAGCAACCCACTTAGAGCAGTAACTATATCCAAATTGTAAAAACAATACATAAAAACGTTGCATTTAAGATGAAAATAACCTTTTTATCCATCAATAACTGCAAGTGGAAACCTTTTAATTTCTTAAAAAATCTTCTTTAAGGAAGGATTTAGCTATCAGAATATTAATTGATCAACAGAAAAAAATATTCGACAGATTAATAGATTAGCAAAATAATCGTTAGTTGCAGCACTACTTAGAACGGCCTAGTCAAAGTTCAAACCTAAATTCAACTGAGAATCTTGTACAACACTAGAAAATCAAATGTTTGTTACATTGGATAACCTCCATCTAATCTGATGAGGCTTGAACAAATTTTCAAAGAACTCCAAACATCTCATTCTCTAGAATGCAGCAGTGGAAAGATTTTTTATAAATAAACTCGCAAGCCATACATTTTTACGTCACAATCGTGTAAATCCATGTCAGCCTATCTAGTAAAATCCTGATAAAATACATTGAAGTTTGTAGATTTAATGAGAAACAATACTTTAGTAATAGTTTAAGGACAGTGAATACTTCTAAAAAAGCACGATATGTCACTAAATATACTGGTAGATTATCTGGCTTGAGTGGTTTTGCTCTAAACAGAAAGAAATATTTCACCCTACTAAGTCCTAAAATTGTAACTTCCTACCATCATTCTTGGATTAAAAAGTTTTATTTAAAATAACGATAAAAACAGAGTTCGTGTATCTAAACCAGACCATTTCCCTAACTTTACCTGCTTTAATAAGAGCAAAAAGCCACACCCACATCCTTCAAAAATCTGTAAACAGTCGACCACGTGTCATCTCCGTCTCCTGTTCCTCCTTCCATAATATAGGCCACAGGTCCCAGCAAGGCCGTAAATTAAGAACTAACCAATGGCTACATGCCAAATCACTTCTGAAGTCAACTGGAAGTTAAAAAAAGCAGGAGGTTGTATGAAAGCCCAAATCAGTTTGCCAAGATGAAGCAGAACAAAACACAGTCAGAGCTTGATAACAGAGCTTGACCATAACTGCTGAGGGCTGCACAACCAAACAGACGCTCTGGCTGAAACTGCAGCAGGCCTGTAAGATAAAACCAAAACTAGCACAAAGATCTTCAATCTCTTCGATCTGAAATTCACCGGTTTAAACACCCTCTCAGGTGCAGGACTGAAGACACCACAGCCTTGCAAATCAGCTGAACTGTTTGGGTTTAAGGCATACATGGAGTAGGAGTGTTTATGAATGAGAAGGAAGTCAGTAGGGCACAGGTTTCACATGACTCACATGGGGACGGTTCTTAAGGCTCTAAATATACATAGTGGCTGTTAAAAAATAAAAAAATACTTAACCATACCCATACAAGCAACATAGCACTAGAAGAATGCTTTTAATCTAGGGTTAAGAGTTTAGATCTGGGAAGAGTAAAAAGGACAAAATTACAGGCAAATTGAGTCTAAAAAAATCAAAGACTTTGGTAAAAATTAGAAATATTATAGTAACTGTATTACTAAAAGAAAAACAGGGGTACCACATTTGAATCCTGGTTGTGCCAGGAAGGGCCCCAGACGTTGAACTTTCCCTGTTAGGAGGCCATAATGACTTCCTGTGGCGACCCCCTGAATATGGAAGCAGCCGAAAGGAAAAAATCTACAGAAATTTATAATTTTTTACAATATAATCAGTAATCGACCTAATTTTCATTTAGCCCAAAGACATTTTTCAATTTATTGGTTTTGTTATTTGTAATAACTACATGGACAGTGGGATATAATATTGAGATCAGTTTAAGTTGCACAAACAAACTGTGCGAAAAAAAAAACTAAAACCTCTAAGAGATAAAGGAGGAAAGGATAGCAGCCTGTCTGCACTATCTATTGGACGTAGGTGGAAGGGCGTGGATACTCTTTGCAGTTTAACTGTAATTTTAGTTAATGAAAGGAAGCAGTGATATTTCTTTTCCTAAATACAGCTTTTGATAAAAACAGTCAACATTTAAGTGTAAACAGCTGAAATCTGGGGAAAGACCACACAAGCTACCAGGCAAAGGACAATGTTCTCTTCTAATGTCAAGGCTTGCCTCTTCATCTCAGGAAATTATCCAACTCAGCTTCTTTGGTGACTTTGCAGGAGAGCAACAAAAAAAAGAAGGAGGGGAAAATGTGTGCAGGTTGAAGGATTAGAGCAGAGCAGACAATTTAGACACAAGTTTCTTGGCTTGTTCAGTTTTGGAATGGAAATAATCAGCCAGGAACTTTCTCAAGCATACTCTGAGACATGACAGTTAATGGATGGGTTTGTCAAGCATTATACCTGTGGGGTTTAATAGAAACAGACAGGGTGAGCAACTGTGCATTTAATGGATGAGTAACTCATGGCTTAAAAAAAAAAAGGAGATAGGGTTTAACAAAGGCCTTTAAAGAATGAAGTCAATCGGCATAACGCTATCAGATTTGACATTTAAAGAAGTTTCCTTCATGAAGCAGGTGCATTTATTCAAGCAGCTGCATGACGGTCCCCATTAGGGTTGTCAAAAGTATCGAAACTCAAAAAAGTATCGATCTTGAAATGTTGTATCCGGATACAATACTCGTTTTTAAAAGTATCGATACAGTGCCGTCACCAGTTGCACCTAAGCAATCATTCATCTAAAGTGCAGAATAGAGGACAATGCACTTTCAGAACACTGTGTGATTGAATAATTCTGTGCTCTTTTCAGTTTCAGACTTTTTTTTTGTAAGAGGTGCAGCTGCTGAGAATTATTTTTTTTTCTTAACTGGTTTGGCTAGTGTCATTGTTATGTGTGCAAAGCATAGCCAAGGAAGAAACACTTAATTTGAATTTTATACGTTTTTATCAAGCTTGCATAATATTATGCACAGCATACAACCTTTATTGTGTTTATTTATTGTATTTTATTTATTAATGAAAATATTTCTGTTGAATTTTGGAGTCTATTTTTATCCTTGTGGTATCGAGTATCGAATATTTTCCTTAGTATCGGTATCGAGTTGAAAAGTTTAGTATCGTGACAACCCTAGTCCCCATAGATGGAAGCAGGTGTTTGGCAGAATTTTACCAGATAAAACGCAAACCAGCAGGATTCGGCAGCTTATGCCGGTCATCTTTGTGCAGAAAGGACTAAGAAAATGTCCTAAAAGTGGTGAACAAATGACACGGGATACTATAGGAGTAAATTAAAAGCTGATTTTTTCTCTTTTCTTGCTGTTTTTTTAGCCTTGATAATAAAGCATTACTGTCCAGTGTGTTCCTTTAAGGCAGGGGTCTGCAACCTTTCATATCTAAAGAGCCATTTAGCCCCGAATCCGACCAAGTAAAAGTTGTTTAGGGCCTTAAAATATAACCTGTTTGAAAAAAAAAAAAACTTTATTTTTTTTTATATCTCATATGGGAAATTAGTTGCCAACAAATTATGTATTTTTAGCTTTTAAAATAATATTGAACACATAAATTCCAGGCTAATTCAAAGAAAAATGCTTCTAAAAACTGGTTCTGGTTCTTTTAATGTCATTCTTTTCCATCTTGTGTTTAAGAAAAAATTGAAGACTAGTACATTATTTAGCTCTTTATTTACATTTTAGCCACTATTAAGAGCCGCTGTAGGGGGTCCAAAGAGCTGTATGTGGCTCTGGAGCCGCAGGTTGCAGACCCCTGCTTTAAGGAGTCATAGATAGATCCTTTTACTTGGTAGCCATATCATGCCTAGCCCACACAGCACAGTCTATGCTGTTGTATTCCTCTCTCAGCAACATCAGTGGGAGGAAAATTTGGAGCACAATTTTTGTTTATTTTACACAGCTATCAAATGAAAAAAACTGACACAGAAACCAAGTAAGTAGGGAGAAGTATAAAGCACCATCTCCATATAAAGCAGCATCCATCATGGGTTGGACTTACCAGCAGTAGAAATGCAAGGCTGTAAATTGTTTATAAAATTCTCTTGTCAAAAATACAAAGGTTCTTGAAATAAATCCACACATTCATTGCTCCCCATTTCTTTCTCTCCTCTCTGTGTTAATCCAGTCTTCATCGACTTTTAACACCTCTTGTACTGTGGTGTATGTGAAGTTGCTCTCCCTGCTCAACAGGGTTTTATACTTCGTATTCATTTAATTCCTCCGGAAAAAACTCAACAGGATAAATGAAAGAGCTTCAGAAGGTAGAGCCAATTGAAACCAGCTAATAACTGCATGCAGATCCAGTTTTAGATGCGTTTTTTTTTTTTTTTCGGTTCACCATTAGTGAAATCATGGCACTATTACTCATGTTTATCAGACAATTAGAACCTAGTCAAGGCCTATGTTTAGTCACACCTTTTGGGGTGTTACTACAACAATATCACAGGGATTTGCTGTCAGTTGGTGTGTGAATGGGTGGAAGAGAGGCATCATTTCTTCCCTCCTTCATATTAACTGTAGCCATTGTGTGTAATGTTAAAAACAATTATTCTTAACAACCGTCTTTAAGGTCTGATTAGTTTGACCCCCTGCTGTGTGAACTGGATGTCCAGCCTGTCCTGAATTGTATGGAGCAACAACCTCCCTCCCGTCAAAGATAATAGACTGTTTGGCAGTGCATTCCACCATAACCCAGAAAGCATCATCAACCGGATTTGTCCAGAAAGGGCATTCAAGTTTGGACACATTTTACCATCCTCGGGTTCGACATGCTTACTGTGTCCTATGTATTTAATCAAACTAAAAAACAAAACAAAACTGCTCCCCAGAGGCGTAGCCAGAAAATGTTTATTAGGGTGGCCAGGCAATAACCAATGTACACTGAGGGATGGCACCAGAACCTCAGGGTCAATCTACACTCTTCCAACAGGAGAATTAACGTGCAACACATCCATATTTTCTAGATAAAGAAAAACTATACTTTCCTACAACCTTTGCTAACAAATAGACGCATATATTTAAACATCCGTGCTTCCTAGATAAAAGGCATACTGGATAAAACCCTTTCAGGTTTGAGTTCTGGGGCGAACATCTTTTCCATTGTCTTTACTTACCTACTTTCATCAACAATCATTCTGGATAAAATTGATATTTACAATTACTAATAGCGACATATTGATTATTTAATATGTTTTTTATTAAAATAGTTATTTATTTATGATTTCACTGAAGACTACTAGATGACTTGCAGAGACACATAATGTTCTCTTTACCCCATGAAACATAAAATCTAGCTATGGAAGAGCATGACTTCTGTACTTATCATCTCTAATGGTTAGAATTTAATGCACATAATTAACCAGAGTGTTTTTATTGTCAAGTAATTGTTAATATATAAAAAATGTTAATGTTTTGAATATTCCACTTGAGAGTATTACTGCTGCCACCGTCTGTATTAGAGGGAAAAAATGATAGGGCTGGCCAATTATTGGCTAAGGGTGGCCATGGCCACCCCGGCCCCCTATCTAGCTCCGTCCCTGCTTCTCCCCCCTTGAAAGCATTCCTTGAATGATATTTTATGTAGAGCTGTAAGCTGTAAAGGGTAGAACAATACATATCTATGCTAAACTTTTTTCTATATTTTATTTTGCATGCTACTGCAAATGTAAAGCTTCCCATATGACAGCCCAACAGATGTACATTTCATCATGCAATCTAAATACATGGCATCACAGATTATGTAAATCTCCTTGTGCTTCTTGTTGTGGCTGACGTCATTATTTGACATTAAAGGCGCATGGATCCACTATATTTAAGACTTATTAAACAAAAAGGAATACATAAAAAATATTTGCTTTATTTAAATAATGATAAGAAAGTAGTATTAATTTATATTTTTCATTTTTAAGTAATGTATTAAAAGGTGTCATGTTGACTAAATACAAAATAATTAATTAATTAATTAAACGACGTCAATGTGCAGTGTCTGCAGCGCGTTAATAAATGCATTAGGAGTGGAGTGGGACAAGATGGTGGTCATTAAAGCAAAACAAAATCCAGAGTCTAAAAAGAAAGGCACGAGTTCTGAGGGTTTGCACGCGTGGAATCAGAACTACGCGTTAAAATGGAAACGCAAAGGAAACCTGAGTGTGCAAATCTCTAGTGCAAAGCGGAAGTGGCCTCGTCCAATCAAAAACCGTGAAAGGGTTAAATGCGAGACGACTCAAACGACGCTGCTGACGAATAAAATAAACGATTAAAAGCCATTTCTTTTTATTATTTTATACCGTACATTTGCTCCAAAAGGCAGCTAGTGCAAAAAGTCCGTGGTGCGTACACGCGTGAGTGTGTTTTCAACAAGGGCACATGGTGGAGCATGGCTGGCGCTGCAGCCCATCCCATGCATGCACACAATGCACCCTTCAAACCACGTCTCCAGGCCCCGTCATGCATTTTTTAAAACCACGCCGCTCCATGATTTCTCTTGTTAGCAGCCCACGCGTAACCCACCGCAAAACGCGAGGCTCACGTACTCACCGTCGGCTTGCGGTGCTGAGGACCAACCGTCCACTTGGGTCGCCATGGTGCTCTTCAAGTGCTCGGTTAAAAACCCTCCTCGCAGTCACGGTGCTGCACTGGTTTATTTAAAGAACTGTCCAAACAGACTGAGATAAGTGGAGAAAACCTGCGATGATTAAAGCGTGTTTTTTTTTTTCCTATTTTCTTTTAAAGTCCACCGTCCCTTTAAGAGGTCTTAGCGGGGAGTGAAGGAGCAAAGTGTCAGAAGGTGAAAATAAAGTCGACAGGGAAGTAGGGCAAGCTTACTGGTCGGATAGGATTTCAGCAAACGGCCTACAAGATAAACAAAGTCTGTTTTTAACTTTGCAGGGGCGTTGAGCAGAGGAGTCACGTGGAAAAATACACGGATGGGGAGTGGTCAGCGGAGTGGGTGGGTGCTGGTCCGGTCCGACCAATCACAGAGCACTGGTCCGGTCCGACCAATCACAGAGCACTAACGCCAACAACAGTAATAATATGTTACACATCCTCACAATGGGATAAATAACGGTAAGCAGGAACTTCAGTTGCTTAGGGGCCCTGATATGTTTGGAGTCAATAACACCTGGTAGGACCCCTGCTCAACTATGGACTAGAACGTTTCTTTGCAGATTTAATGGTGCGAAAAATTCCTTTCAAACCCATCTAATGCTAGAATTATTCTTCTTCTATGGTGTTTTATGGCACTTTACAGACTATGTGTATTACCGCCATCAACTGGACGGAGATGTAATTCAGAAAAAAAAAATCCTATTTTTAAATCTACAAAAATAAACTAAATGAAATACACTCACACATAAATACTAAATGCTCTCATCTAATTTTGTGTCTTTTAAATACTTAATAAGTGCTTTAACTACATCATGTGATCAATGCTTCCCTAATAAATTAACCATATTTACTGAACTCCCCATTACCCTTTCCAGTTATTTCCTCTTATTTATATATTTTCTACAATAAATCAACACATGTTCTACTCCATCTGTTTCCCCACAATAAGAACAATCACCAGATGGATGTTTCCCTATAATTTTAAAACCACTATTTAAACTAGTATGCCCAATCCTCAACCTGTTTATCCATACTGCCTCTCTCCTATTCATTATAATATGATTTCTTATGATTACCTCCGACAGCTCCACTGGCTCCCCATACAGTTCCGCATTCAATATAAAATTATCATGATGACTTTCAAGGCACTTCACCACCTTGCCCCCCCATATCTGTCAGACCTCCTGCATGTTCCCACCCCCTCCCGTGCTCTTAGATCCTCATCTGCTTGCACCTGTCTGTCCCCTCTGCCCGTCTCACCACCATGGGGAGCAGAGCATTCAGCCGCTCTGCCCCCCGCCTCTGGAACTCTCTACCACCTCAACTTCGAAATACGGACTCAATTCTCCATTTTAAAATGCAACTCAAAACCCATCTGTTCAAGATTGCTTATTCTCTTTAAAAATATAAATTTCACTGTCACAGCCTCTGTATTTTTTAAATGTTTTTAAATGTCTTCTTAATTATTATTTTTATTTTTCTGACACTTTTTATGTTTTTGTACGGTGACCTTGAGTGTCCAGAAAGGCGCCTTTTAAATAAAATGTATTATTATAATTATTATTATTTCTGTATTTTATGTGAATAAAAAATTCCATCTCTCCTGTCATTTATTATTTATTTTATCTTCAATAATTACTTTTATTTTTGCTCTACTTAATGGGACATCATATTCAATTTCTCTTGCTTTAACTGCTTATTTAGCCAACTTATCTACTTTTTTATTATCTACAATTCCTGTGCTGGAACCTATGTGAATTGAATACTTATTTTTTGTTGCTTTATACCATTTAACAAATAACTAACTTCAGCTAAAAGATCTTGAGTGAATTTACATTTTAACTTAGAATTCTTGTCAAGCAAGAAATTGAATATGTACTAATACCAAACTGTATGACCGGACCTCATTTATACCCCAACAAATGGTGTTGTATTTCGTATGGGGCCCACCTCGATAATGTTGCTTACGGGCCTATTGTTTTGTCGTTACACCATTGCAGAATCATTCATTATTCTGTTGTTTAAAACTAAGACTAAATGGATTTAGCTTTTCATAAAAATCTGTAGATACATTTAAATTTAACTCTTAAATTATGGGTGGGGGGTGGGGTCTGTTATTGTCAGCCCTGTTTTAACCAGTAGATGGCGCTAAACAGGCTTTAGTTTAAAAAGATGTTAATACCCCAAAGCCTTTTACCCAGTTAAGGCTGCTATGTTGATCCAACAGATCTACTATGCTACTTTTTTATACCTTGACAATTTTCTTATTAATCTATTACCTTAAATAGGCATAAGCATCTATCTCACCTGGGATATAACAGAGATCTCCAAATTATATTAATGTTCATGCATTTTATTACTCAGCACTATTCATATCTCTTTTAAAACTTGAAACATTACAACTACTTGGATATATGTTATTATATCCCCTGTATTTGACATGTTTGCTTAAACTGAACTGTATGCACAAACGTGATTGAATTCAGTTTTTATCCAATGTACAGTTATTTTAAATATTAGTTCATAGATATATCATTCATTTAGTTTATTTATGTAGCTCCAATCCACAACACAAAATCTTAACTCTTTCCAGAGACAGTTCAGTCAAGCCATATAAATAGATTGGTTGAAGGTTTTAGATCTAATAAAACCTGCCAGACTGCATCGAATCCTTGACTTTGCAAGATTCACTCCTCTTGAATGAGTGACAGTAGGCATTTGCTTGCATTTGACTGTTCAGCAATTTGAGCCATATGCTGCGTTTAACAGGAAGAAACCTCCAGCAGAGCCAGGATCAGTGTGAGCGGCCTTCTGTAGAGGTCGACTGGGGTTCAAGGAGACAGAAGCAGATATACAAGAGGAACATAGAAGTACTTTTTCATGAATACTTTATGTTAAAAACAGAGGTGTCATCCAATGCAGATCATTGGCTCCATCCACATCTAGTGAAAACTAGTGTAATTGGATGTGTGATATAACGCAAACACTCATTGGTTATCTAAAGGAAATCATCAGAAGTAAGCATGTGTTCTTCAAACTGAAAACGTGAATTGTCTATGCCATGCTACAATATCGGATTTAGAAAAAAGATGTTGAAATGTCTGAAAGGTCGGACACAGGCGAGAGCTTATCGGGATATTGAGACGGAGACCAACAAGACCTCCCTCATCCTAAGCACTATCTCAAAGAATTTTTCAAAATAGTCGAAAAATTTAGCTTTCAATCCATATAATGGCATCTGGCTGTTTTTTTTTTAAGGTTACTTTATATTTTTATACTTTTAAGTAGTTTTTGGAGCACATAATTTTTCACTTTTACTTGAGTAAAGAGGTCAAGTTGATACTTCAACTTTTACCAGAGTGTTTTTACTCTGCAGTATCTATACTTCTACTTAAGTAACAAATGTGGGTACTTTTGACACCACTGGTTAAAAAGGGAATGGTAAACTAGCAACACAAGTGGCTCTTAGTAAGAACAAAACAGTTTTTATGTCAAAAAGGACAGTAGAGAGCACTTACATTAGGTAGGATAAAAGCTGAGCCCATCACTATTTCTAAGAGATAAACAGGACTAAGAAATTAACAGAGAAGCAATGAAGAGAAATTATATGATGAGAAAAAGCAGAGAGAACATAAAGTTACATTGAATTAACAAATAATACAGAATTGGGGAGTAGTAGAATAAAGCACAATGATGAAAAGAGGTCTCTATGTCCTCCGACAGTCTAAGCCTATGGCAGCATAACTATAGAGATAGATCAAGAGAACTTGAGCCATTATAACTATAAGCTTTGTCAAAAAATGTATTGTTAGACCAGACTTAAAATGTTTTAAGTCTTAAAAGTAGACAGGGTGTCTGCCTCATGGACTAAAACTGGTAGCTGGTTCCACATGAGAGAAGCCTGATAACTAAACGATCTGTCTCCCATTCTACTTTTAGAAATTCCAGGAACCGCTAGTAAACCTGCAGATTGAGAGCAAAGTTCTCTGTTAGGAACGTAAGGAACAATCAGACCTCTGATATAAGATGCAGTTTGACCATTAAAGGCTTTATATGTGAGAAGGAGGATTTTAAATTATATTCTATATTTAACAGGAAGCCAATGAAAACAAGCGTGGATAGGATGAAATATTTCATTTTAATAATGATCAAGACTTTTTAACTGGAGTTTGTGGACTTCCCATTATTAATGAATTACAATAGTCCAGCCCTGAAATGACAAATGCATGGACTAGTTTCTCAGCATCACCCCTGGTCAAGATGTTTTTTTTTTATGTTCAATATCCTAGAAATGAAAGGAAATTCTAGAAACCAATTTAACACATAATTTAAATGACAGGTCCTGATCAAACATAAACATTGTTTTTTTAATTATCTGAGACCAATTTGATGCCATCCAGATTAGCTTTTAGAATGGTCCCTGTTTTGATTTTTTGAGTTTTCGAGAACTCACTTGAGGTACAATTATCTCACAATAGTCTCTCCAACTTTCCACCCATTATATAAGGATGCCCCAAAAACAACCAGGCCATAAAGGCGTCGTTCGTCAGTCTCAAAGCTCTATGAAAGCTGGTGTTCATCAGCTGATCCTCTGATGGTCACATTGACAGGCATTAATAACATTCAGACCACAGCTAGTTCAAGCTGCATCAGCAGTGTGATCTAATCATGGTCTTTTCCAATTCAGTGCCCCCCAACCTCCCTTGGAACATGAGAGACATTGCCTAGGCATTGTGAATTGAAGATAATTCAGACATGTTTCCCGGCACACCTACACCACCTGTTTGGGTTTACCAGGAGCGGCTGGTAGCCTCCACAGGCAACCAGATCCAACTCACTATTAGGTGGTGATCTGTTGACACCTATGACCCTCTGTCATCGAAACAGATAGTTCCATTGGTTTTTTTTTTAGGCCCAAAGTGTCTTGGTAGCAGTTACACATATGAACCACTTTGTGCTCAAAGTAAACGTGGTGTTTGACCATCGCTGCGCAGAAGTACTTAACAAAACAATGCTTGGATTCAGAGAGTCCAAGAAGGTCAGGTAATCTGAACTGCTGTTTCTTAGGCCCACATTAACGAAGACAACAATCAGAACTTTCTCTATTGGAACCTAAAGACACTAACAGCCACCCTTTTGCTCTCCAGAGAAAATTCGAAAATCAACAAACTCCGTCTTTGCTTGTGAATAAAAACAAGAATATATATATATATATATATTTATATATATATTATATAGTATATACAATGTATATATTTACTGATACAATTAGAATGTCATACCTTTATAGGACAGTAAAGACATCCAAACTCTGCCAGGATGGCTGTTGGGGATTTTTGCGAATCTCTCAACAGGGTAATCGCCCGACAACACATGTCTGTCCCACTGTCTACTGCATCTCATACCAACTTACAGGAAGAAAAAAAAACATCTAAGCTTGTGGTTTGGACTTTATGGACTAGATTTCTAAAAGAAAGAAAAACGTGAATGTCATCTGTTAGTTGTACTCTGATTTCTCTGGTAGATATTTGCACGTCAAGCACAATGGTGATGATTTGATACCTAGGAAATCTATTTATTTTATTTTGTGAGAACACAAAAAGAGAAATCACAATAGATGGGCTTGTCAAATCCATGCTGTATTTTATTCATAAATGAAATAATTATCAATAAATTTAAAAAATACAGTTTTAGGTTAGACCTAGAGGGTTTTTACGCTGGTTGTTTTTGTCAAACATAGCGGGTCAGAGCTGTAATATGTCATGTTAGGATGACTGATACAAATACCTGCAAGTCAAACTGCCCCACAGAGTTTTGATGATAAAAAATGTGAAGAGCTTTTAGAGTGATTGCTTCATCTGAAGAGGCTCAGTGACAGATCCACCAGTGGGAGATTTACATTACAGCACCTCTCTTGCCGTTTACAGAACATGTACACAGAGCAGTGCTGTGTTAATAAAAAGCAAAGACATATGAATGGTACCATATTTATTCAGTGAAAAAAAGGCTTTTTTGATTAAAGCACAAGTATTAAATGGGATCCAATTGACAGTGAAAAAACAGCAAATGGACAAAAAAAGGAAACACTTAAAACTTATTTTCAACAAGCGACAATTTCCATTAAGATACAAAAAAAAATTGTATACACGAAACTGAGTATCTTACTTAACAGACTTCTAGACAAATAGCATTAATACTCACAGTAAGCGACAATTTTAACAACACAGCCTCACAAAAACTTTCTCACACACGTGAGCAACACTCTGAAGAGCTGCAGGTAGAGTTCAACAAGGATGCCCTTTAAGTACACCACCACATGTAGTAATAATATTAATCTGAAGTACTACACAAACAGCCACATTTACATACTGTTATATGTCCTGCTCTGAACTATTAGTCATCATAAAATTACCTTTGTCAGCAGGGTTTGATGTTTCGGTGTGAAGTTGTACAGCTGTAACAATCTGAGCCTAAAAGCAGAAGATGAATTATGAAAGAGCAAATAGTCTTTAACAGAGAAAGCTCAAGCAAGGTAACAGTCTAACATCAGGCCTTGGCTTACAGTTTGGGCTTTTGTGGCTGCTGGAAAGGCAGAAAGGATGTGAAGCCCCAGGTTGTTCTGCTTTAAATGCACATATGTGCCATTTTGTTCACAAATGATCAGATCCGTACAGAATCCTACCAGGGCTCTTCTTATCTCATCTAATTTTATTATCTAGATAAAATAATAAAATATTTCTCTTAAATCCACATTAGTATTTAAACCAATTTTTTGTGCTTTTTTATTGCAGAACATTAAAATCCAAAAACAAATTACCAGATAAGTGGGGCAATACAAAACATGCTCTACATTGATACATTAGTGATTCTTCATCTTTTAGTTTCTTTAAAAGAAATATACAGACTAAAAGCAGCCCCACAACTTTTGGCTGACCCTGGTAAATACGTGTAGAAAAGCCTTCAAATAAATGGATCTTGTATTGCAGCGGTGAGACATTTGAAAAAAAAAAATGCAACATTCCAAATTTATTACATTTATTAATCACGTTAAAAATGTTTCAACATCATCAAGTACTTATATTCATCATGAAATAAATGTTACTGAAGCATTTTTGGAATCTATTCTTTTTAATTTTTGATTAGCAATAAGATGTTCTTTATTATTAATGTACAACTTCCTGTTTCTTTAAGGTACAAATAGTACAACCCACAGTAATGTTTGTATTAGCCACTCCTCAAAATGGGAAATACAGGAGATATCTAATTTAACAGGGGGACATTTTAGTTTGTTTAAGCCTGTAAATAACACATGAAACCTTTGGAAAGCTTTGCGATGCCAGAGTCCGGTTTCTGGGTAAATAAATCTGGACCCCATCCAGGATTCTGCAACAGATAAAACTGCACCCTGCAACAACAGCTGCTGATCTCAGGATTGTTTTATTCTGACATTGGAGTAGTTCAAGTGCAATAGAGGATGGTATTTGAGTAAAAGAATAATGGGAGGATAAAAAGATGGGCTCAAACCTGAAGATGTAATGGTGTGAAAGTAGGTATTTATGGAATACTTAAGATTGACAGAAGTTGAAAACTTTGCCTCTTAGTCAACACAGGGTTGGAATAGTATTTTCCTAATGTCGATACATGCAAATAAGTGTGAAAAGATGAAAACAAATCTAGTGACTGAATTTATCCGCTACTGATGTTGTGAAAGCAAACGGTGCAAACAGAGGGTGAGAATTTTTATACCTCCCCGGGTTGCCCATGTCACCACATAGTCTCCACATAAACTATCATGTGTAAACATGCAGAGTTTCTAATCTGGAACCTTCTGCTTTGGTACGAAAAAAGATAGAGATGTGGAGCGACGCTCACGGCCACTATATTGGCATTATCTGCCAGATAAGTTTATTTTAAGGCTTTTTACACAACTTAAGCAGATTTATAAAATAAGGAGACCCTATATTTCACTGCAGATAAAGACTTTTGTTCAATCCTGAACTTAAATCAGTGAATTTAAGATATTAAAATAGGGGTTTAACTTAAATCTCCTAATCTCACTTTGCATTTAGAAGGAATCCTAATGCAAAGGACAAGCATCTCCCCCCCGCAGGGCTTCCACATCTTTCATAAAGAGGTAAATGTTTTATAACAGTTTATGTCTTACCGATCGGAGCGGAATAGAAAAAGGAAAAAGTGCAAACACTATTGCTAAATACAGGTTTTCTTTCTAAGTCTCACATGTAGTTTTTCACAAAAGATAGAATACGTTCAGCACTGTCAAAAAACATGTGCCTAAGTAAAACTAATCACAGTTTAAAGAAAACATGTAGAAACTACAGAATGGCCCATAGTGTGTCTGTATTTCTCTACAGGCACAAAATACTTGATCAACAAAGACCGTATTAATTCTGATGAACAGTCACTCACCACACACTGTACACGGCTTGGAATAGAGAAATATCAGAGGATTAACTTCAACAAAACCACCTCATCAAGAAGCTTCACATGAAAAAGATACAATTATAACAGACAATCAAGTCCGCTCTTGACAAAGACACCCTCAAATAGGCCTTTAGTTGTGGATAGGGAACACGCTTGTTCCATATGAAGAACAATCACAGAGAAAGTTGACTTAAGACAATTGCTTATCTCCAACATAATTTTTCTGTACGTTAAAACCAGGCCAGTTCATTTGGCTGCTATTCATGTGTGTGGAGATAAATCAGGGTCATATTTGTATAAAAATGCATTGAAAAGCAATAAAGGGAAGTTATATTAGGAGCTGAATGGGAATTTCATATCTTGAATGTCAGAATTTAAAAAATGTATTTGGAAAAAAATATATTTCAGTTTTTAGGTAATCTATTTTATCTTTTATCTATTTCATGATTTTCAATATTTCCCTCCGTTCCTGGTTATTACCTGCACTGTAGGATATATTAATGCATTAATTGTATTGGCTCTATACACATTATAACTGTGTGTGTATGACTATATAAAGTCAGAAATAATGTGCATTTGTTCAAACAAATGCACCTTCATTTGAAATTGACATTAAAACAAAAATAAAATTAAGGAAAGCAAGGGTGGTCTAGAATTTTTTTTCTTGTAATAAATATTTGAACAATTTCCTAAATTAGCCTTCGTTAAAAAAATAATTTTCTGTTGATATAAACAAAGTACTTCTGAAAATAATTATACAAACTAAGTTGTTACTTGGACTCTATTCCTTAAAATGCACATGCTCACCTGTTTTAGTTCACTTTATGAAAACCAAAACACTTGAGCAGAAATCTGAATTTGGTGTGATTTTCTTCTCATATTAAAAAAAAGAATAAAAAAATCTTCAAAGATAAGATTTCTTTTCTCCATGTTCTGTCTCCTTCAGCTAAGCGTAATCCACTCTTCATGCAGTGAGATTACTGTGCAAGCATGGAAACTTCAAACCTTTGTAACCTTCAAATCTTTATCAAACACACCAACATTTTCTGTTTATTTGATATTTATTGCTAATCAGTTTATTTCTTGTTTTTGCATTTTAAAAATAAATGGGACAATTTTGAGGGATAGAGAATAAACAGCATATCCCAGAACAACAGGAATTCACAGAATAAGGTCTACAAATATAAATTAGGACAGATTTATAGAGTGAATTGGAGTGAATTATTTTTTGAAGTAATCCCCAAAAAAATATCTTAACAGATTTTGTTTTACTTGTTTGTTCGAAAGAAAGAAATAGAAATGAAAATTCTTCCCTACATTGAAATAAAATGGTCTTGATTTAAATGCATGCACATTTGTTTCATCCATTACTGTTTTATGTGCCAACCTTTACCTTAGCTTCTCATCCTTCATAGTTTAATTTTTTTCAGTTTAAAATCAAAAATTTAAATCCTTTTTCATTTCTGTTTTAAATAGACAAATCTGATAGCTGTTTTTCTGCTCCATACCAATGTGCCAAGCAACAGGTAAGCAAAGGAGAAAATGCTTTATAGATGCATCAAGTTCACCTCAGTATTTTCTTACATCAATTCAATGAGGCAAAGGCCTGAAAATTAAAAACCTCATCTCATAAACTCCCGCCTTTATTATTACAAAAACATGGAAATACATGGAAGCTGTCCATTTATTTTTAAAGCTCCCAGCTGTCTGACTGCATTGTCCTGCCGCAGTTTTCCCTGCAGCTTACTGTACTTTGTTTTTTTAGTATGCATAACTCTTCTACATTCATCATCAGTTGTCAAAATGTGATTTTATATTAATATAAAGACTCAACAGTCATTTCATGGAGGAACAGTTAACTGGAAACAGGCTAAGACACTTTTAGTTCAAAGTTAAACACTTTGTAATTACAGTATGAACACCTAACAGTCTGAAATAACGAAGTGGGGACACTATAAAGGAAGGAAAGCTTTAAAAACACAGCTGTGTTCTGGCTTTTTGTACAAGCATTGGGATGCAGGCTGGTAAAAATGTACATCTTCAGCATTCCCGTGTTCAATGTTCATTATTCCAAGTTTGCAGAAAGAAAGTTAGGACTACATTATGCTATCCAGTTTAGTTTCAGAGCTGCACCTCTAAAAATAGAAATGCCTATGACTCACCGAGGAGTGAACTTTCATATTCTTCTGCTTCTGCAGAAAATTTTCACCGGTACACAGGCTTGTTGGTGTGCTTTGCACTTTAATGCATGGTGAGAACAGTGGTATGTAAGGCAGTGGATCCTTATCTTTTTGCTGGATTACATAAAAAAAAAGTTAACAGTTGCTGAATTCTCCAAATGAAATGGATTTTAGCTTTCTCCGATTCCACACACGGATGTAAGTAAAAAAAATAAAAATTAAAGCTGTGCTGATCAGACTTTTACAAGCTGATACTGGTATAAATCTGCCTTTAGCGTTTGCTGATTTAGATTTTGGCTTATTCTGGTTTTTCAGGATCAGTAAAGGTTGATGAAACAGTGAAGGAAAAATAAAAGAATTTCTTTGGTTGAGGTAGAATCCTTAAATACAACAGAAAATAAAGAACTACAATGTTATCCCCTTATATGATTCAAGGCAATCTCATAACAGTCGGATAACGTATTTACAAAACCCTAAAAGCTAGAACTTTTTAGTTTTGATGAATGAAACTTATGGAGGAAATAAAAGTAATTCTTTATTTGACTTTTTGATCATCAATTGAAGCCAGTCAAGTAAAAACTAACTTATTTGTGCATCTCTAAAAGTCTCCTGTCAAAATCCTTTTTAAGTTTTTTTTAAATAAATTGCCCTCCCAGTTTCCCTTGGAGTTTCTGAAGCCCACCAGAACTAGATGCATGAATTAAGTATATAAATTTTTTTTGTATTACAGCGCCCTTTCTAGAGCAAAGCTGGATCAGAACTAAACATAAATGAGGAGAGAAGGATTACAGACATAGTTTGCATGCAATGCATGCTGGGTAACTGCAAAGACTGAGCTACTGCTATACTATTTTCAGCAAAGAAAAGACAGAAGCAAGATATCTTGTCATTAACCCAGGCATTAATCATTTCGATGTTTGATTTCTCTGGTTGTTAGTTCTTCCAGAAAGAGTGATCGAAAAGCTCTATCTAACCTAAGACAGTATAATCTGCAAGACTTTCCTTTAGTGATCTACCCTCTCTTTACCTATTAGTGCTGATCTATAGGAATGCTGTAAAGCATTACCTTCTAATTAATGCTTATTAAACCACCTCAGACCGGTTGTCTGGTTACGACGTCTCCAAAGTAATGACGGCGTCACCGGCCTTGTAGATAACAGTGGAGGAGGGGGGAGCCTCGCTGCGTAGCACCTCACGGGGACCCAGCATGGATGGTTGGACATTGAGCTTTGATCCAAGAGAAACTCCAGCGCTTTCATCCCCGTTTCCTTTACCCACATTCCCTTTCTGGTGGTGCTCCTCCTCCCCTCTCCTCACATGACAGCGGCACACCTCGATGCCAGAGTCGCCTGTAAGCCGTCGGTGGCTAAAATGATCCTCATCGTCTTCTTCCTCCTCGTATTCTTCTCCGTCTGGTTTTTGCTCCACTTTAACATGATTATCTCCATTTGGTGAGTGCAGATCCTGTGCAGAACAGGAGGGTGTTACATCATGAGGTGCAGACTTCACATCAGCTGCTGGGTCAGAGGGCAGGAGAAAGTGAACCTGACCTGGAGGAGCAGAGGATAACAGAACAAGGGGGGAGAGCGGGAGGCGGGCGGGATGTGAAGGTTGTGAATATAAAGGGAGGGAAAATGGAGGACAAGGAGTTGAGGGTCTGTCACTGCCGGCAGAGGAGGGTCGCTGCACAGGTATGACATCAGGAGTGGCAGCAGGTATAACATCAGGGGGAACTTGTGACGGGGAAGACTCAACAACATAGTCACCCCCAGCTTCACTAGGGGTGGACATGTGGCTGCTGTTGTACGTCTCGTCGGTCACCTGGACAGAGAATGAGGTGCTGGATGGAGAGGTGAGGGAGCAGGACTCGCAGGAACAACTGGTGTAGTTGTCAGAGCTCTGAGAGGAGGTCAGCCCACTGGGACCGGGGCCCAGGTACGGAGGGCAGGGGTGCCGGTGGTGGTAATGATGGGGGTAAGAGGAGCTTGGCTCTGCAGTTGTCCCTCCCTGCAGGGCGAAGATGGAGCTATATGGAGGTGGAGGCGTGCCGGGGCAGGCAGCTACCTCCTCATAGGTGGGCAGCTTCAGGGAAGTCAGAAAACCTATGGCAAAAGAACAATAAACTTTCACATTTTTTCATCTTAGAAAAAGCTTCATGCTGCCCTAAACCACCAGATATTGCCCATGGAGTCACACTTTTGTAGTTATAATTAAAAACAACAGATGTATCACCTTTTTTTCCCTTAACAAATATACTTCCTGTGCTTTGCAAAAGTGCCCCTTAAATGATTCAACATTTAACCAGCAAAGCTATAATGATTTATGGTAATAAACATACAAGTGAGGACATAAAATTAATATTTAATCCCAATATTTGGTGGGATTGATTGTAATAACAAAACAAAAAAAGAGAGACAATAACAAACACAAACACGGCTCTTAAAATCCATGCCCATTTTTAAAATGACTTTTTTGGGACTCTGGTTACATGCAGAAGTGTGAAGTTATTATTACTAGGTTAAACAATAAAATTTTTTTATCAGATGTTCTAATGTGCTGCTATATATCGATGATAATCATGACAATGAGTAATGATTCATAAAATGTCTATCCCTACAAAGAAGTTGGGAAGCGGAAGGAAAATGGCCGATTTAGTTTAAATCTGAATATAATAAAGTGTGTTTTGCTTTTGTATACAAGCACTCTGAGTCAAGCCTTACTTTTAGTTTCAATCACAGGTTCAAGTCCTTTAGAGATTGAAAAGTTTTCTCAAAATGAGTGACACTGGATAAAGATTTTCTAAAGATAAATTTCAAAGTGTCTGAAATAGTCATTCTAAGATGTTGCTATGCTTTGATCTAAGCCATCCCTTCTAGCTCCCTCTGTATGTTCAACGCTGCCAGCAACATGTGCCTCACCTTCTCATTATTTTATTAATGTTGTAATGCTGAAATATCTTCTCTCCCGGATCAAACTAATCAAGAGTTAATCAAGTCAAACAAATCTCAACAGACTTTAGAAGTAATTCAACATACTGAGATCCAGCATTGAGGACGGAAAGTTAGAGGCTCCATTATAGGCAATCAGATTGATTTCCCTTTGCCTTTGCTGCTGCTGGATTCTCAGCTTGGCTCGGCGGTGACGGTAAGCACAGAAACAGCTGAAAAGGATCAGCACCGTCCACAGCAGCCAAAACCCTGTAACGGAAGAAAAAGCTGTGAACAAACAATATTCGGCACATAGGTCAATGTGCTTTGGCATGCCATGCAAATAAATAAAACCCTGGAGGTTCCATACAGTTACATTACTCTGCTAAAGTAATTTATAACTTGATCTGATAGTTCCTTTATACCCCATCTGCATAAACCTGCTGCACTTTGTGGGTAGAGGCTTTTTCAAGCAAAAATGGACTGTTTAAATTCACACTACAATTTGAATCATAGATGAGTCCTAACTTTGACTAGGCCATCCTAAAATCATTACTGCAAGCCATTTTGATGCAGTAAAATGTGTTTTAAGTTGTTTATTTTTATTATTTTAAACAGCATGTTATAGGACCCTATTTCCAACCAAGATTCCCTTTCTCATTTCTTAGGATCTATTCTAAGAAGACACAGGGTATTTTACAGTTTTGGTAAATATAAGATGATGCTTTTTCTTCTTTTTAAACAGCAGTGGTTTTCCCCTTGAAACTATCCAGCGGATGCTAGTTTTGCAGAGATTATTTCATACTCTTGAATCATGAGTACCAATCTGAGCGAGGGGAGGCCTGAAGTAATGTGTTACTTTAGGCTCTTTTGTGATTTCCTGGATGAGATGTTGATGTGCTTTTGGAGTAATTGTGGAATACTGGACTCAAAGGTTTTGTACTCTAACCTGTTTTCTTATGGTGGCTGTGGAGTTCCAGAGCCTTCTTCAGGTTGTCCTTGAGGGTATTTTTAGTTATGTATTAAGTATATGTGTATGAAAACCTAAGGCCTCCATGTTATTTACTGATTTATCACAGTTCATTGTAACATAACAAGTGGGGTAGTGTGTTCTGCTGATAAATTATATTGAAAGCTGTTATTTATATTTATACAACCTATCCTAGTCATATATTAAAAGTTAATCTGATTATCTGCAACATTCAGGGCTGACAAAACATAAAATACACAAGAACTCTGTACAGAGAATTTTTTTTTTACACTTTAAATATATGACCCGATGAGCTAAATAACTGATCCTTATGAGGATTATTTAATAAAGCAGCAGTTCAGCTGAAACTTCATTATAGAAAAATAAAAACTAATCACAAATAGATGTACATATGGAGCCCTGATCATGTGTTTCCATTCTATACTCCTTAAGCATTTAACTTTTTGAATTTAAAAGTAAAGCTAGTTAACTCACACCAGAGTTCATAATAATAGGTACAGCAGCCTGTTTCTCCACAGCAGTGTCCTGTTTCACACCGGTAAGCCGGGCTGTTGTTGGCTCCTGGACAGTATTTGGGACTGACCACAGGCTGCCTGCCTGAGCCGACGTGATGCTCCACCACCTGGTGGACAAAGACAGGTGGTGTAGCAGGGAGAACCTTTCCAAAGAGATCCACCGATCCTCCTTGCTGCAGGAGAGTAAGACATGAGGTAAAAACACCTTAAAAACTGTTAAAAAGGGGATCTGAGAAAAGCAATGCCGATCTAAAAGTATCTTTAGAAAGGATAACTAATGAAAACTTAGAAATACAATTCACTGGAGCTATAAAATTAGTTAATTCTACTCTGAACACGATCTATAAGAAAGAAGTGTTAATCTCACAGTGAGCTGATGGAGGTTAAAAAGCTTAAAACATTATTAAATTTTTCTGATTTATGAGTCCCATGACACTCATATCCTCTACTATATAAAGCTATAACCCAGTCTAAATTTCTTCACATTTTACTGCGATTTATGTGACTGATGAACAAAATTAGGAGGTGAAAGCAAAACATTTAGCAAAATATGTATCCTCTTATGTACATTTGCATTTTGTCCCCCTTTCTTTGATACATGTAAATAAATTTCACAACAGATTAACAACTGCAAAATATGCCTTTAGCTGACAGAGGAACCCCCAAGATTGTCAAAAAAAATATGTAAAGCATTTTGCATTTAAGATAAAACTTTTTCTACTGTCTGCTCTTTCCAGAACTCCTCAAGTGAAAAACATTTTTTTCACCTGGGTTGAATTCATAAGAAGTCTTCTTTAGAGAAACCTTTGACTATCTGATTATTAATCGAAAAAAATAACCGACAGATTAATCAATTAGCAAAATGTTTAGTTGCAGCCCTGGAGCCCATTGGAGAAGCAACAGCATCACAAAGACCAAAGAACAGTGTAGATAATGAAAAAAAAGCTGAGATATTTAAATAGACGTAAAGTTATCTGAAAAATTATTCAGACACTTTCAACAAAGCACTTTCCATTATTGTGGTTAATGAGAGCATTAATCAAACAGGTAGCCAAGTTACACAACTGCCAAGATCCACTCAACAAATCTGCCTTTTCATCAATAGTGCCAATAAGAAACAAATTACTGTAGGTTAAAAAAAAGCTATTTTTAAGTCTATTTGAAGTGTAAGGCAGGCTAAGTAGGGGATACAGTGGAAGAATGTGGTCCAGTCACAGGACAACAGAAAGTAAATGATTTGGTCTACAGGATGCAATGGTGGAAACCATGTATTACACAAAATCCTAAATACTGAATCCAAGTGGGGATTCATGTTGGTGCAGCTGGGATACCTTTCTTTAGTAGAGACACAGAAACTGTTTGGAGTTGATGGAAGTATAGGTAGTGCTTTAAACAGAGGATGTCACCCACACTTGGGTGAATGTTCACCCTCCAGCGGGACAACCCTAAACATACAACAAGAGTCCAGACCCAAATCCAATTTAGAAACGGTGGCAAACCTGACAGTCGATGTTCCCAGACTCTCTATATCCAATCAGTCTGAGCTGGAGCTGGTTTACAAAATAATCTCCACATATTTTAGATGCAAAAAGCTAATAACTGCTGTAACTGCATCAAAGCATGGTTCTTCTAAGTAGAATAGGGTGGATACAACACACTTTCTGTTTTTTATTTGCACAAAACTAACACCATCTATCCTTTTCTTTAATGTCATCACAATTAACTTTTGTACAGTCAGTCATTCAAAGCCTAACCAAATACATGCATGTTTCTTGGATGTAAAGGACAGTTTTATTAACGCTGAAGAGGTACAAATACTTTTGCAAGGCACTGTATATTCCAACAGTTTAATGACAGTTATCAGTTCCAAATTAAAACTAAAGACAAGCCCCACCTCATCAACTGTGTTGCTGACTTTCTCCCTCAGAGGCACCTAGAATGAGAAATACAATTGTAGCTGAATTAGGCAGCAACAGGTCAAAGGCATCTAAATCTGCTCTGCTAACAGTTACAGTACCACACTAGAATCAAAGGTGCTAACAAGCAGTAAGGTTTGCTATAGAAACAGCTCAGAGATAGACTCTTCTGACTTCGTTTTCCATATACTGATTCCGTGTTTAAAGGTTGGTATGCTTACTGTTGAAGCTTCAGGTGAAACCAGCCCCTGCAGGGACATCGTCATCTGGTGAAAAACAGAGACACAATGATCAGGACAGAGAGAACAGCATGGCCATGATAAGATGTAGATGGCAAGACTAAGCAAACAATATGTGATTAGTCTAAGAGTGACACATTTTCCAGTCAGAGGCTGTCAACTGCTGTCTGCTTGCTTTTCAAGGTAATAAATAGGCTTTCTTTTCTATGCAATGAGCAAAGCTGATAGAAATCAACATTTCTGAGACATTTTCCCAAAATCCTCCCGTTCCTTTAAATCTTTATGAAATACACAACGTAGTAAAAGAAAGTTAGACAAACGTACCCAAAGGTGAAAGGAACAGATAAAAACATACAGTGGTTTATATTATCAGATACTACAACTATTGCTGGTGAAGATTCTCAGTCATCCAGGTCATAGTGATTCCAAAAAAGTAAAAAAAAAAACAATCCACTGGACTTTGTTTCCAAGTTTAAAGACATTTCGCTTCTCATCTAGGAAGCTTTTTCAATTCAAAATGTCAGAAGTACCGTTGAGTTTCAGGCTTTATAGAGTGGCCCAACAAAGCCTTGTTTTGGCTTAGAAAACATGCAAATGAAACGGACAAACGGGTCAACCCCTTAGGAATGGGGGCTGTTTGGCTTCTAACCTCTCCACAGATGCATACCCCAAGACGGAACAGCTACCCCCTCGGGACAAGACTCTGCGGTACATCTACACCTTATGGAGAAAGGACATTCTTTTGTAGGACTAGAATGTTCACATTTTGGAAAAAGAAAATACTGGGTGGTTTGAGAGGGGCATGAAGGAAGCCATCTTTGTTAAGAAAGAAAAGCCAACCTTAAACAGAGAGGGTCGACTCAGATTTCAGCTTTCAAAAACCTATAATGCAGTGACAAGAGTTGATTCTTTCCCGCCATCATGGCAACCCCAACCCCTCTACAGGGGAATGGACAAGAGGGAAGACCTTTGTCAGGAATCCAGTTTGTGTGGTCTGTTTTTGTGTTTCCTTTCCTCCTCCACCAGGTGGTGCCCCGTCCTCATTGGGGCTCCCTGCCACCTGCAGCTCATCGCCTCATTAACTGTGGATTGCTCTTAAGCTGCTAACTGCCACTACCTGTCATGTCTGGCTGAACCTTACGGACCCACATGCAGAATCTGGCTCGGACACGACTGAAGGGAGAAGAGTTTATTGTTTATTCAGCCAACACGGAATGGAGAATAACTGAGAGTCTCTTAGAATACACTGCCACTGGCTGTGCAGGTGGCTGGAGGTGCGCTGAGGGAGGAGACGTTGATCACGGAGCTGTCACAGAGGTGGTGAAGAGCGGGCAGTCAGACTGAGGCGATCGTCAGAGAGTTTTCACTGGAGCGGTGGAGAGCGGGCAGGCTGACAGAAACTAAGCTGCAGATAGGATCAGCACGCTGAGTTAGACGCAGAAGGGATCCGTCCAGGAGCGCTTCGATTAAAACCTGGGAATCCAGAGACACAAGAGGTGAGCTATCAGGAAGCTTTCAACAGGAATCAGATTAAACTTTCTCGAGGGGAATTTCACGAGGGCTAGATTGGTACCAGAATATGGGGACCATCAGGCGTGGAAGAGATGGCTGCAGCTCCTTAAATCCCTCTCAGGTGGATGGGTTGATTGGTCTCAGGTGCTCGGACAGCCAGCCACGCCCACCTGCAGTGCTCCAGAAGAAATAGAGAAACACTCCACTCAAGGGTTCTGACATCACCCCCCCCTCAATGACCGCCCCTTGGCGGTCCACTAGAGCCAGGACGAGAATCCTCAAAGTCCCTAATGAGGTCAGGGTCCAGGATAAGGGAACGAGAAACCCAGGAACGATCCTCTGGGCCGTAACCCTCCCAGTCCACCAGATACTGGAAACCCCTGCCTCGCCGACGGACATCCAGCACCCGCCTTACAGTGTACGCCGGGTGCCCACCAATGTCCCGAGGGGAAGGAGGTGGCTTAGGAGGCGGGCACAGGGGGCTAGATCTGACTGGCTTAATCAAGGACACATGAAAAACAGGGTGGATCTTAAGACTCGCTGGTAACTCTAGACGAACAGAAGAAGGACCCAAAACAGATTCCACTTCATAGGGGCCAATAAATCTTGGAGAAAGCTTCTTGTTAGCTGATTTCATTTGAATGTCTCTGGTGGAAAGCCATACCTTGTCTCCAGGGCGGTAGGCAGGGGCAGGAGCTCGTTTCCGGTCAGCATAGCGCCGATTCTGTTCAGCGGTTCGATGCAGGGCTCTCCGAGTCTGTTCCCAAATACGCTTGCAGCGTCGAAGATGATGTTGAACTGAAGTAATGGATGTCTGCCCTTCTTCTGATGGAAAAAGGGGGGGCTGGTAACCCAGCGACACCTCAAAAGGAGAAAAACCTGTAGCAGAAGATACATGACTGTTGTGGGAGTACTCAATCCAAGGCAAATGGGAACTCCAAACAGTCGGATTAGATGAACAAAGACAACGAAGGGCAGCCTCCACTTCCTGATTTAAACGTTCAGTCTGACCATTAGTCTGTGGGTGGAAACCAGAGCTGAGTGAAACCTTGGCTCCTAAAGCCGTGCAAAACTCTCTCCAAACCCTTGAAGTAAACTGGGGTCCCCTATCTGAGAGAATCTCCTTAGGGATGCCATGTAATCTGAACACATGTTTAATGAGAAGCTGAGCTGTTTGAAGTGAAGACGGGAGTTTCTTTAATGGAACAAGGTGACAGGCTTTTGAGAATCTGTCAATGATAGCTAGAATGGTGGTGAATCCACTGGAGACGGGCAACCCAGTAACAAAATCTAGAGCTATGTGAGACCACGGCCGCTCAGGTATAGGCAGGGGTTGAAGAAGCCCACTAGGGTGTTGATTGGATGATTTGTCCCGGGCACAGATATGGCAAGCAAGAACATAATCCCTAACATCCCGGTTCAAAGACGGCCACCAAAATGCACGTCTCAGAAGACCAATGGTCCTGCCAACTCCTGGATGACAGGAGAACTTGGCTGTGTGTGCCCAGTGAATAACACGGGAGCGGACAGATGTGGGAACATAAGTGCGATTGGGAGGACCGCTGCCTGGATCGGGTTCCTGGCGCTGGGCTGTCCGGACTAGGTCTAGTATGTCCCAGTTAACAGTGCCAATAATACAGGATGGTGGTACCAAGGTACCTTCAGTGGGTTCCTGGTCAGAGGAGAACTGTCGGGAGAGGGCATCTGGCTTAGTATTTTTGGAGCCAGGCCGGTAGGAGATAATGAAGTTGAAACGGGTGAAAAATAGTGACCAACGGGACTGTCTAGGGTTCAGGCGTTTAGCTTCTCGGAGATAGGACAAGTTTTTGTGGTCTGTCCAAATTAGAATAGGTAAATCGGTTCCCTCAAGCCAGTGGCGCCACTCCTCTAAGGCCAACTTAATAGCTAAAAGTTCTCTGTCCCCAACATCATAGTTTCTCTCCGGAGGGGAGAGCCGACGAGAGAAGAAGGCACAGGGATGTAATTTGTCATCCTTAGTTGAGATCTGAGACAGCACCGCACCGACACCAGAGTCAGAGGCATCAACTTCCAAAATGAATTGCTTGGATGGGTCTGGTTGGACAAGCACAGGAGCATTAGCAAACTTACACTTAAGTTCCTGAAAGGCCTGATCTGCCTCGGGTGTCCATATAAACAGCCTCTTGGTGGAAGTCAAGCTAGTTAGGGGAGCAGCTGTCTGACTGTAGTTCTTAATGAACCGCCGGTAAAAGTTTGAAAACCCCAGAAAACGTTGAAGATGTTTCCTTGTAGTGGGGACCGGCCAATCCAAAACCGCTTGAACCTTGTGAGGGTCAGCCTTCACCTGCCCGCTCTCTAGTATAAACCCCAGGAAGGAAATTGAGGGAACATGAAACACACACTTCTCTGCCTTGACAAAAAGTCTGTTCTCCATCAAACGTTGCAAAACCAGACGGACATGAGCTTTATGCTCCTCTGATGTCTTAGAAAATATCAGAATGTCGTCAATGTAGACGAAGACAAAGTCATTGATGAAGTCCCTAAGAACATCATTGACCAGTGATTGGAAAACTGCTGGGGCATTGGTAAGACCAAAAGGCATAACTAGATATTCAAAATGACCCAAAGGAGTCTTAAAGGCTGTCTTCCATTCATCACCTTCACGTATTCTAACCAGATGGTAGGCGTTACGGAGGTCTAGTTTGGTGAAGATCTTGGAACCCTGGACTGGCTCGAAAGCTGAGGTTAGAAGAGGGAGAGGATATTTGTTCTTAATTGTAATTTGATTGAGTCCTCTGTAATCAATACAGGGCCGGAGAGACCCATCCTTCTTAGAAACGAAAAAAAACCCAGCTCCCAAAGGGGACGTAGAATGTCGAATAATTCCTGCAGCAAGTGATTCATTGATGTACTTCTCCATGCTTTCCCTCTCAGACTTAGAGAGGTTGTACAAACGACTAGAGGGCAAGGTGGCTCCAGGAAATAACTCAATAGAGCAGTCGTAAGGGCGGTGGGGAGGGAGAGAGAGTGCTCTGGACTTACTGAAGACCAGTTCTAAATCATGATATTCAGAAGGAACGTTAGATAGGTCAACAGTTACCTCACACCTCATGTCAGCGGGTTGGGAACTCACATGGGCAGAACGGAGGCAGCTTGAGAGACAATGGAGGCTCCAGGACTCAACTCTACCCTCTCTCCAGTTCAGATGTGGATTATGTAATGAGAGCCAAGGATGGCCAAGGACCACTGGGGACTGGGGAGAAGGGAACACAAAAAAGTTTAGCTTCTCATGATGGTTGCCAGACACAACCAACTCAATAGGTTCTGTAGTGTGAGTTACAAAGGATAAAGGCTTACCGTCCAAAGCCGAGACGTGAACTGGAGAAGGTAAAGGCAAAGTGTTAATTTTTAACTGTTTAACCAGGTTACGGTCAATTAGGTTTTGTTCACATCCTGAATCAATTAACACCGGTACCTGAAATGATTCTTGATTAAGAAGCAGAGAGCTTGGAAGGATGAAACGGGAAGCAGTTTGG